AATGACTTGCTGAAGTATCTCAAGCTCTTTGTTTTCAACATAGGATGTATGCACTTAACCTACAGATAGCAGATTTCCATTCTGCACATCGCAGATTCTTATTTTGAGTTTTTTTTCACAAATTACAGATTTTTATTTTGCAAATTGAAGATTCTAATTTTATCTTATCTCACAAATTACAGTAAATCATTAACTATGCCAAGTTTCAATACATCAATATCACATTTTATATAACAGGCCTTTCCAGGAAATTCAGGAAAAACTGACACAGTGAAAAACAGTCTAAAGGAATTTGCAAGTGCAAAGTTTATACGCTTTCTGCCAACAAAGTATAATGTGTTCAAGGCTCTGAGAGTGGAGGCTTATGGAATACTTTTCTCTAAAGGTATTTATTTGTTCTCATTTTTGTCCCTCTGATACAAAATGAAGTCACAATAACTAATAATTAGGAGAAATTAAGGCAAGATTGGCACTTTTTTAGAACTGAGGTAAATTTAAATACTCTCTGATACTTAACCCTTTCACTCCTGAGATCTAATTATTAATTCTCCTTACTATCTGCCATACAATTCTTATGATGTTAGTTCAGAGAATTTGGTATTGGATCAACTAATAATCTCATAATTGATATTCTTCTCTATTCTCATCACCTACCTGCTTGATATTGTATCGATATTGTAAAGAGAAATTCTGTCTTGGTCACCTGTGGGAGTGAAAGGGTTAATTATTGTCTTTTGGTTTAATGAGAATGATGAAAGTATACACTATGTGATTTTAGAGCTGAGCATTAGACAACTGAACAATCATCTCCTACAAAACTGAAGAGCATGACAAAGTTTGACTTATTGTTTATTGGATTGTTGATTTGAGTTTTATTTGTTGATTTTGTTGTTGTTTTTTGTATTGATTAAAAAATTGAGACAATTATTAAACTACCTTTCGAAGGAATTAAGATGAAGTGGGAGGAGAGGTAACTGAAGGTGGTAAACATTCCTTAATTTTGGTCCATGGTATAGTATAGTGAACTTTTCAATGTTTGTTCTACAGATACAGTGTAGGTTGATGGAGAGCTGAGGATCTAGTGTCATGATTATGACTGTGAGGACTTCTCTAAAATAAAATTAACGAAAGGCAAATTTAAGTGATGATGGCAGTTACACAAAAACATAAATTTTTGCAATTTTTGTAAGGGAATTACATGTCTTTGATATGTTTATTTCAGTTCCATCACAGCCTCCTACTGCCTTCAAGCTGACTGTAATGTCTTCTACCAGAATTGCAGCTTCCTGGCAGTTACCTCCAGTCTTTGCCAGACATGGAAGAAACATATCTGGTTTTAAACTGTTCTACAAAAAGAAAGGTTTTGGTGGGTCAGCAACAACATTGGCAATAAGTAGAGGATCAATATTAAGTGAAAATGTCACTGGGCTTGATAAGTACACAGAATATGAATTTCAAGTGTTGGCTTTTACTTCTGATGGTGATGGACCAAAGAGTTCTGTTGTGGTAGAAAGGACAATGGAAGATGGTATGTGACAGATTAAGAAGAATGATAATCTTATTGCTGTATTTACAGTTTGCTGGACAGTATGTTCATCAAGAATACATAGCCATACAGTACTTTTGAGCGAATCAATGACTGTGTATTTTCTCAAAAAATTGAAAACTTACAGCAATCATGTGGAAGTGGCAAGTAGAGAATTAACATATGCCATTTTAGAAATTTTTGCAAATGATTAAATACAGTTACATGATTAGAAAAGTGCCAAAATGTGTCCACTAAGTAATCAATCATCTTTTTTCCAAAGTTAATGTCTTCATTGTTAATATGTCAACTTATTTTCCGCCCATTCTTCTTGTTTTTTTATTATTTTGTTCAACCAAATGAAATTAAAAAGGAAAAAAAAAACAAGTTATATGTATCAGTTTGCTGTCTTGCTGAAATCTTTCTTTTAACTCTTGATGCCTATGGTTCAAAACACTTCTTCTTCTATGTTTTGTTGTTTAAATTGTTTTGTCAGGAAATGATGACTCCTCAAACATTAGTGTTTGTTGGAGAATTTTTAATACTCCAGTTGATGTTACCAAGGAATTTCCATTATTCTGAGTGTCATGCGATTCAATCATGACAATGAAGTTGCAGTTTTATAGTCAAATTATCACCAAGAAAAAAGTTTTTGATGTTGCAGAAGCTAGTTGGCTTATCGAAATGTTTCCAAAATGTAGTTGGTGATCTTTCAAAAGGGTATGAAAATGATCCCAATAATATTTGTATCTGGATGCGATTTTTCCCATCATATGATTTAGTTTTAAGTGGAGGGTGTACATACCTATTAAACAAAGTAGTTTTTGTCATGCAGTTATGTTATGCAGGTTATTTTATTAAAAAAGATCTTTTTCTTAAATTTTACATACAATTAACTCTTAGTTTAAAATAGTCTTTCCTCTCTTTACTTTTCTCTCTGGTGGCTTGATTGGTACCATAAATCAATTTAATAGATACATGTATGCTGTATATAGGCCTGTTTTATGGTAGTTCTCTGTTTCTATTGGTCCCTATGTTGTCAACTTTTAAGGCCTTTATTGCCACTGAATACATGCTTTATGTTGTGTATTCATTCAGTGGAGACACTCACTCTTTCAATTGTAGTACCATCACAAGCCCCTAAAAGTTTGACTGTGACCGCCAGAACATCTACAATTGTTACAGCTTCCTGGCAGTTGCCACCATTAGACTCCAGAAATGGAATAATTACAGGGTTTAAATTGTTCTACAAAAAGAAAACTGCATCAGGGTCATTAGCCATGTTAAGGATAGACAATGGTGCTATTCATGATAAAACAGTCATTGGACTAGACAATAACACAGAATATGAATTTCAAGTGTTGGCCTTCACTTCAGCCGGTGATGGACCAAAGAGTTCTCCTGTAGTGGTGAGAACCATGAAAGATGGTAAGAATCTTAATGATGGGTGTGAATGTTATGCATTAAGTTTCTTCCTTACAAAAGATGGGGACCTGATAATTGAATAAATAATAGTAGCAGAGCTTTGGATATTAACTCTAAAGCTTCAGTCTCAATATTAATTGAATATAATTTGAGGTGGCTCTTCCGTAGTTCAGAGTATGCAATTTTGGTTGACAGGTTAGGTTGAAAACCTACTTTGCTTTTATTGAGTGTTCTTTTTTCTCTGGTAGCAAATTGATATTTTTTTAAATAATTAAGAGGATTGGCTTAAAATTTGAATCAAATACGCTTGGGGAAAATCAATCAAAAATACCTTGTATGAAAGGGGTTTCTATTCTTCTGGTAATGTAAAGTGTCATAGGCATTGATAAAATTTTTATTAAGTTGGAATTTTTGTGAAGTTAATTTGAAGGAAAAGTTTGGAAGTAGGGAAAACAAGTACAAATGAATAACATGCTTTTGTTGAATTAATTACCTCTTGCAATCAAATGTGTGTAATTTTTTTATGTGCACAACTCTACAGCTATTTCAATTTACATTGTCGGATCAAAGCCTCAAGCCTACAAGACAAGACCGAAGGGGAATATGGGATCTTAGGAGTCATATCTGTTCTTGTTGCTCTTTGTTAAGACGCGCAAGGCAATACTAATTGTATTTTCAGCCTCCATGTCCATCTCGCGCCGACAACCCCGAAAGCCTAAAATTAATTCTAATCTACCCATACCGCCTTTCGGTCTTGTCCCGTACCCTTGAAGCTTTGATCCGACAACGTAAATTGAAATAGCTGTATACATGATTACATATGTAACTTACTCAAAGTGGAAAGATTTTTTTCCATAACATTTACATTAATTGGTTATGTAGAACTGTAAAACATCCTGAATATGGAAGTAATCTTTGCAGTAATGAACACTACTTAAGCAGTAGTGAATTTAAGGCCTGGAAAAAATTCAGGCCTGTACAGGATTTGAACCCATGACATCTGTGATACTGGTGCAGTGCTCTACCAACTAAGCCAAGAAGCCACTGGGAGCTGGTCATTACTGGTATCATAGCATGATGGTTCCATGGCCTTAATTACCGGGTATTTCCTCCACCGCTTTAGTAGTGTTCATTACCACAAATATTGCTTCCATATTCATTTCTTCATCCACATTTCACATATATGATTTTAATTTATTTACAGTCATTTGTAAAACAACCTGTTTGGTCTACTATGACCTAAAGCATGAATTAAAATTAAGGTTGCAATGTTCCAGGAAAGGTTTACAAATTTGGTTAATCAGGAGAGTGCTAGCTGGTCAAGTTGTAGGCACATGCAAACTTTGATATTATTGTCATTTTATTACCTAAATCATGAAAACATTGCACAGAAGAAATTCCTGAATACCATTGTTGAGAGTTTTACCCTCTTAAACCCTTCCACATGTACATGAATGATTACATTGGGCGGTTGTGATTTTATGTTTTTTGCATTTTTTCAATGTGTAGGAGGTTGTGTTGAGTTTTATCTTGGAATGGAAAATGGAGCAATTCCAGACAATAAATTAACTGCTTCTACTGAACAAAGTGCCAACACACCAGCCAAGAATGGTCGAGTGAACTATACATCCGGATCATCATGGTGTGCAAGAACAAGTGACACCAACCCATATCTACAGATTGATCTTCAGACACTTCATATCATCTGTGCTGTGTCCACCCAAGGGAATTCTCAAGCAGATCAGTGGGTGAAGACCTACACTCTACAATTATCCACAGATGAGAAAGTTTGGACAGACTATAAGGAATTAGGTGGAAAGGTTAAGGTATGCCACATGGGTTGGTTGAGAATTATATGATACTTTGTCTCAATCACTGTTCTGAGTTTTGATAATATTGATATATTCATATCAAATTTGCTACCAAAGGAGTTATAGGTATGCAGAGGATTATTTGTTTAATAAAAATTCAACAAGTACTCTCCTCATGCTTGGCAAATATCATGAATTTTGAGAAACTATTGTTTCATTTAGCAAATGATATTTCGCATGCCTGAATTTGCCGTCAAGGTTGCAGAAATAGTATCAGAGGGAAATGGACAATTAATCTAACAAATTGTTTTGAGCTACATTATTCCACCAAATATTTATGGTGTGAAATAGCTTGTCAAAGGAATGCAGAACCAATGATTTCTAATTACTGAGAGATTGCTGCCCTTAGTCCAACAAGTAACAAAATTGTTTTCATGGGTAAACTGCAATTGTAAAAATTAGATAGACTTTTGAGGGTCAGTGTGCAATTTTTTATAATTCAGTGGTCAAATTATGATTTATTCATGTATGCCTAGTAACATTGTCCATATGGACCTCTTCCATAAATGTTGGGCCTTATTCCTACACCTACATCTATATTTTTCTGTTTGTATAAAGATTAATTAAGCTGCCTAGCTTACCATTTTGGTAACAATAAATTAAAGTATTTCCTGTCATAAAACAAGAGGTAAAGTAATGATGATTACTCTCACCAGGATGGAGAGTTACAATTATAGTTACATTGTAGAATCTACATGGAACTCTATGATGAGCTCTGACTATTTTCCTAAGGTTTTAGAGGGAAACAAGGATAGAAACTCCAATGTCAAACATGTTCTATATGGAGTGTTAACAAGATATTTGCGATTCCTGCCGCAAGCACACCAGGGTGAGGTGTGTATGAGAACAGAGGTGTTTGGGCTGCAACAGAAGCCAAGTAAGTTTTGAAAGCTAAATGTGTGATATGATCCTTGTATTTGCTAATCTATGAACAAAGGGTCCAAACCTAGTGGTTTGGTTATTTTGTTAATAATTGTTATTGTTAAATAGCTTTAATGATACAAACCACTCTTTGAGCGTTCAAGGAAAACAACCCAGCCATTGTGATAAGCTTCTTATGTGTATCCAGGTGACAGGATGCACCAATTTCTGCTCTATATATAGTGGTAGATAGTTTTATTTCCGGGGCCTGTAGGGTTACGAGCCAAGGATTACAAGAAAAAATTCCAATTTGCCACAAACTTTCCTTGATAATATTGCATGAGTGCATAGACTTCCTCAAAGTCAGAATAGTTAGGGATTGATTCTGGGCAATTTTAGCAGCACAGCCAACAACTTCAGCTGTTTGGCTTCATGACTATTTTTCCATGACTATTTTTCTGTATTTTTGTAATAATGTCTTACAGATTGTTTAGAAGTGCATTAAATTAATTACACTGAAAAACATATATGTAATATGGTAGGGTGCAAAGGTTAACTTTAAAATTGTTACATTGCAGGATGTGATTCACAGGCAATTGGTTTGGCCAGCGGTGGTAGAATTCCAGATGACAGCTTCTCAGCCAGTTCAATATTTGCCCCCAAATATGCAGCTAAATATGGTCGTCTTAATGGAAGAGGGGCATGGGAACCTAAGACTACTAATGGTCTTGATGACTACCTACAAATTGACCTGCTCTATGAGTATGTTATCTGTGCTGTTGCTACTCAAGGAAATCCACCAACCCAGTCAATAGGTCAAGAATGGACCACAGAGTACAAACTAAGATTTTCTTTGAATGGTACCACTTTTTTCCCTTATAAAGAAAATAATACTGACAAGGTTGGTATGTCATGCTCTTGTATACAAGTATTCATAACAGCCAAATGTAATACTTGTGGTACAAAACTATAGCTACTGACAAGAACAGGAAATTTGCTTATACATGTCATAAGATATTAACAATATTCAGCAATGCTAACATTACTCACAATATACTTATGTTGCTTACAAACCACATAGACATTACTTTCAAGAATTAATAGTGACATTTTCTAATCAATTACATGTACATGTAAGGATTAAAATAGAGTACAGACACCCAAAAGCATGTAGTCTATTAGTCTTATATATGTTTTCATAGGAGGATGAGTGTACAAAGATGTAGCAAACACTGACCAATTCTGACTGTTTAATCATACTTTTTAAAAAAATTACCATAAAACTTAAAGATGGAGAATGAAATGGTCCTGACCTCTCTGACAGTCATTACCTAACCTGTGGCATTCCTCAAGGCACAAACCCTGGTCTTCTTCAAATGACTTGCTGAACTATCTCAAGCTCTTTAGTTTAATAACCTAGGATGTATGCAGATGATGGGCACATAACCTACAGATAGCAGATTTCCAGTCTGCATGTTACATATTCAGATTTTCATGTTGCAAATTACAGGTTTTTGTTTTATCTCATTTCACAAATTAAAGTAAACCATTAACTATGCCATGTTTAAATATATCAATGTCACTTTTTGTATAACAGGCCTTTCCAGGAAATTCAGGAAAAACTGACACAGTGAAAAACAGTCTAAAGGAATTTGCAAGTGCAAAGTTTATCCGCTTTCTGCCAACAAAGTATAATAAGTTCAAGGTTTTGAGAGTGGAGGCTTATGGAATACTTTTTACTAAAGGTATTTACTTGTTCTCACTTTTGTCCCCTGATGCAAAATGAAGTCACAATAAGTAATTATTAGGGAAATTAAGGCAGGATTGGGCAATTTACATTTACCAGGGCGTTGTTATTGACGAATATCAAAAGTAAATGTCGGAGATGGCTGTGAAATGCCTATCAACAAAGTTGTGATGCCTAAATCATAAAGAACATTATGGGGAAAATATGGTAAATGGATAAACAAAGTCACCACCTCAGATGATCCACACTGCTATTAATCAATATAGCCTGCCCATTAGGTTTACCATGGCCGTTAATGACATGTTCCTTTTTAAACTTCACATCAATTATCATCTATCAATCCAAGCATACATCTCTTGTTTTTAATACAGTTCCATCACAACCTCCCACTGCCTTCCAGTTGACTGCAAGCTCTTCTACCAGCATCACAGCTTTCTGGCAGTTACCACCAGTCTTTGCCAGACATGGAAACATTGCAGGGTTTAAATTGTTTTACAAAAAGAAAGGTTCTGGTGGGTCAGCAACAACCTTGTCTATTAACAATGGAGCAACATTAAGTAGAACTGTCAGTGGGCTTGATAAGTTCACAGAATATGAATTTCAAGTTTTGGCCTTCACTTCTGGTGGTAATGGACCGAAAAGTTCTGTGAAAGTGAAAAGAACAATGGAAGATGGTATGTGACAATTCAGGGATAATGGAATGACTGTGAACCTTATTTTTTGAATTTGCATCTTCATTGCGGGTTAATTAGATACCGATCACACAATAAGAAGGCTAAACAATTGAATAGTTTGGAATCAATTGATTACTTTAATTTATCAAAACACAAGAGCATTTATATTCATGTGGCAAGTTAAGACGTGATAGAAGTTTTCAAAAATTTTTACAGCTAATAAAACTAATTAAAAACACTACTGCCCAATTGCAGCTCCTTCACAACCTCCAGCTAACTTCAATGTCATTCCAACCTCCTCCACTGGTGTAACAGCATCATGGCAACTACCACCAGCAAACTCCAGGAATGGAATAATTAAAGGATTCAAATTGTTTTACAAAAGGAAAGACTCGTCAGGCTCAGGCACCATTCTTCCTATCAACAGTGAATCAACTTTAAACAAAAATGTCAATGGGCTTTATAAGTACACAGAGTATGAATTTCAAGTGTTGGCCTTTACTTCTGCTGGTGATGGTGTAAACAGCTCTGTTATTGTTAATAGAACAAAAGAAGATGGTTAGAGAAACTTTTTGTTTTATCTTCTTAAAATGTCTTGACTTTTTAATGAAAGGTCAGATACACTTGCACTTCTCATACAGTTTTCTGATGTGATGAGAAGAGTGAAAATCTATAATTATGCAATATGTGATTTTAATAACCATGATTTAACACACTGTTATATCAGCGAGTCATGAGTGGTAAGGTAATTATTTGAAGATAACTAACATAATGTATGCATTCTGATTGGCCATCAAATAATGACTATTTAGTCAAGAAATTATAAGCATGCAATTGAATATTAGCAATTATGTTGGCTGTTATTGGAAGATTACAGGCTTCATATGCAACAATTTCAGCTTGCTAATTGGTTGAGAACACACCAGTTTATCTCATACAGTGCAGAAAGTTGAAATTAAGCGCAAAAATTGGAAATGAAATTGATTCACAGGAATGTCGCAAATGGCGGACAGGTTAGCAGCAAGTAGCAACTTTTAAATTCAAAGTTTGAAGGAGAGTGCTCAAAACAGAAACACCCAACAAAGCAAAGACAACTGGCTAAAAGTCCGGAAGACTTGGCTTCCCAAAATGGCTATGACAGAAGTATTGAAACATACGAAATTCTCGAGAAGTTTAGGTAACAGTTCGTACCAAAGAAGGAGAGACTATAAGGGTGATAGCCTTCGTGTACTGGTTGCTGCTATTAAGTGATTATTTGAGTAAAAATAATGAGAAGATGACGATCATAATGACATTGCTTATCGTTAGGATTACTGTCATTTTTTTTATAATCATATGCAACTTCTCAATTACAGTTCCTTCACAACCTCCTCGTGGCTTTACTCTGGCTGCAACCACTTCTGAAAGTATAACAGCATCCTGGCAGTTACCACCAAAAGACTCCAGAAATGGAATCATCATAGGGTATAAATTGTTCTACAAAGAGAAAGGCTCTTCAGGGGCGGGAAGCTCGAAGCTCATTAACAGTCAGGCAACTCGCTCTCAAGAGGTCACTGGGCTTGATAAGTACACAGATTATGAATTTCAAATTTTGGCATTCACTTCTGTTGGGGATGGACCAAAAAGTACAGTTGTTTATGAGAAAACAAAGGAGGCTGGTAAGAAATAGGATTTTATCTAAGTCCTATTTCCATGAAACTCAGAAAAACATGGATGCCACAAATGTCTCTGAGATGGTATTCCGCCTAAAGAGAGATCAAGCAGTCTTGAGAAAACTTATATAACTTAATTGTTTGCTTGTCAGGTCTGTGATGTGATAGCTATATCTCAACACAATCAACATTCCAAAGTCAAAATTTTATCTCAGGTGTTTATGGCTTCCTAAATTTTATAAAAACACACCTGCCCCCCGTACATGCATGGTTGTAATGTTACAACACCTCATTGTTAGCTATTAATCGTATGATTTTCAAAAACCGTGAAGAGACCCGCGTAAAACTCTTTTCGCGAGCATTAACCACGCAAAATTTAATATAATGACTAACAGTTAGGGAAAGCGCTACGTTGCCAAAAGGTAGGAGAAAACAGGAGTCGCTGGGGTAGGAAAGGGTGAGTCAGCTCCTCCCGAGGATCCGTTTGAAGAAATTGACCATATCCTTAAGCTGTAAGCGCAAATAGACGGTGTCATGTACTCATGTACGCACTGCTTTGTTGCAAAGGTACATGTTAAACTGTTTTAAGTTTTGTTTTGTTATAGTAATTTGTTGTTCAGTGCTATTGGAAATTACTGTTGCGGAAAATTAAAATCAGTTTTGCTGACTCTGAGACTGTTTATTATGTAATTGCATTTACAACTCAAACATGTTTAAATCTGAATTTGCCTCCTTCCCAGGGAGGCATTAATATCTTTCTGGATGAAAACTTCTTAGTTGTAGCTGCAGGTTGGCTATTTACAGAGGCTGTAGTAAAAAGGAAAATAACACTCAGTCAGATTCATTATTTAAAGATAATAATTGAAATATGACTGCTCTATTGCAGCTCCTTCGCAACCTCCCTCTCAGTTTAATGTCACTGTGGAATCTTCAACCAGTATCACAGCATCATGGCGGTTACCACCAGAAGGCTCCAGACATGGAATCATCAAAGGATATAAACTGTTCTATAAAAAGAAAGGCTCAGACTCAGTAACCTTCTTGACACTGAACAATATAAAAACATCAGAAACAGTTACCGAGCTTGATAAATACACTAAATATGAATTTCAAGTGTTGGCCTTCACTTCTGCTGGTGATGGACCAAACAGTTCCACTGTTTTCAAGACAACGATGGAAGATGGTGCGAATCAGAAGTGATTTAACCAACATTTGAACATAAAAGTGATGTTACCTATTTAGGGTGATTTCTTTTATGTAAGGTTATCAATTGTATCCTTCATAATATATCTCACACTTAAACATGTGTGAAGATGATACCCAAACTATTTCTTGAATGATATATATTTTTTTGAATCCCAAGTAATCTTTTTTGAAACAGCATGCAGTTATTGTTGATTTGTTCACTCTTAATTAGTGTTAACAATTTTCCTTTATTCTGCCAGCGCCTGATGCACCTACCTCCTTGTCATATACTGATCTGTCACCAAGCAAGTCACATGGTCCAAGAATAACCCTGACCTGGAGTGAGCCTGCAGAAAGAAATGGAGTTATCAAAAGTTATACTTTGTTTTACAGTCACGATGGAGTTGCACCAAGAGAGATTTCTGGAATAGGCAAAGCTGCACTTAGTCACACTGTTGATGTATTAGGTGGAGTGACTTATCAGTTTAATGTCAGAGCTGTGACTATTAAACCTGGAAAAAATGCCACGAAAACAGTAACTACTAAGGAATATGGTAAACTTTACCTTCATATATTTGAAAGGACTTCTTTTTAATTTTACCATACTAAAATAAATTTTTATACATTGTGTAAATTCAAAAAACAGACAGTAGTTGGTCGCCCAAAATAACTTAAGGGCTAAACTACTTGGGTGATTCCTATTTATTAGTTGGGAAAGCACAAAAGTAGGGAAAAAAAAGGGCAATTACCTAAATTATTTTTGTACATATCTTCATTGATATTAACACCTATAGTACAAATTATCTAAAGATGATTTACCTACGCTACTTTACATGTATTAAATAATAAAAAAAGTCAGGAAACAACTTAAGTATTGTTGAAAACGAGCAAATAAGTACAAGTGACTTCCATTTGCTGTGAATCAATTAACAAAATGTCCTGTTCTTTGTAGCTGAAGACTTAAGCGATCCTAATTGTTCAACTAATTACTAATAATAAGAAAATATCTTAGATTGTAGACTTGCAGGTGCATTTTAGGTGACAAAGGTTCAACTGCCTCTTTACTTTATCGAAAAATCTTGGTATTTTTCTCCAAATTGTGGTAAAAATATATCCCCTTTATGAATAGAATACTCAAACATTTTTTATAAAACTAATAATATTGTCTTCTGATAGCGTGAGGTTTTTACTCTCTTCCTCAGCACCCGGAGCTGGCCCAGAACGTCCTTCATCCGCTCAAGTGAACAAGACGACTTTTAACATATCATGGGAACCTCTATTAAGAGAAAAGAGTTATGGAAAAGTTATTTTGTATGAAGTCAAGGCCATCTTCTCGAAGAAAGGAAATTTGCGCAAAAGATCTGTAATTTATAGCCCCTCTGTCAACACCTCAGTGACATTTGTTGTCCTGTCTGATTTAGAGCTTTGTTCTAGATATAATGTGTCTGTTCGAGCTTACACAGCAGAAGGGCCTGGACCTTATGGCCAACCTTTGGAACTGGAAACATCAAGTGAGTTTGATGAGATTATTATGAAAACTATATTGGTTTGTGACATGATTGGTGAAAAAAAAAATACTAAAAAAAACATTTTGTTTTATTTTATGATTATTGACAATTTAAAAAAAAGCACAACTTGTAACATTCATTATATGATAAGATTCTTTCCCCAAGTTATTCTGACTCGATAACTTTTTCAATATACAAGGCCTTTCTTTACCTTTTTTTGTTCTCTAACATAACACTATAGGACCTGAAGCACCAGGGGAATTTAAAATAACAGACTTTGGAACAAAACAGATTACCCTGGCGTGGAAACAATATGATGAAAAGGAAAAAATTGTCTATACTGTAAGTTGGATTAAAATTACCCTATTTCTTCCCTTTGGGTGCAATTATTTCGCATGTAATTATAAGTAGTACTTATACTGTACATAGTTAGACATGTCTTGAAATAATAATAATAATTGAAATATTTATCCAGGATAACCCTTCAATACAAAAGTACTGTTATTAACGGGGTTCTGCTGATTAAGAATTTAAAACTAAGAAATATTAAATTATTAAAATATATATAAGATAGTGCCTATGGTACTATCTTTAGGTACTATGTAGATGGTACCTATAGCACTATAATTTCAAACTTATGTTTGTGTGAGATGTTTTATGTATATTCATATTTTTAGTGCTGATACTAATAAATGTGTAATGACGATACCAAAGGGAATTTCTTAATACGTTTCATCAGCAAGATTTTGTTTCAGTGGAAATTTATTTTTCAAAAGAAAAAAACAACTCCTATCTTTGCTAGATTTTCAAGAAACTTTAACCCTTGTGAATGGCTTGATTCCAAGTCAGACCAATTGTATCTTAGTCACAACGTCATATATTTACAAAAGGGAGGTCCTTTTTATATATTTTGACTCAATTTAAATTTATATCACAAAAGTAACCAGGCAAGTCACCCAAAATGAGAACAGAGTCATCATTTCAGCTAGAAACTATTGACTTTACTCAAATCCAATCCCAAGACCATTCTTGAAATCGCATAATTTGTATCAAAACAAAAAGTCAAAATCACAAAACTAATTTATTTTATCGGAATATTAACTGTTCCTCGAAATTCAAAATTGCTTTATAAAAAAACTTTGTATAATTTAATTTGTCCAAGCTTACTTCCTATCAGAGATTTTAAAATTAGATTAACGTAGATTCTATAACTCGGCTTGAATTACAGAAACATTAAATTTGAAGTAATTTGATATCGGAGCCTTTTGTACTTAATCGTGTAGGTGAAGTACACTGGAACAAAGTCCTACAATAAAACGTTCAGAGATGAGCAGACTATAGAAGCAATAAAGGCAACAACACAGAAAGTAGAAGGGTTGATTCCAGGCACCACATATAAATTTAGAGTTCATGGCACCTCTGTTTGTGGCGAGAGCGCTTCCGAAGTCGTCTCAAAGATGACAGATATGATGGGTAAGTTTCCAAATTCTTTGAGGCCAACCAATCATTGTAATAGGTTATCTATGAAACTATCTAAGAAAACATTCGCTCTGATGAAGGGCCAACGCTCGAAACGTCAGCTTTGAAACTCTTAACGGCGGCCAATTTACGTTATCATCTCAGTTGACAATACAAAATTACCTTGATATACTCTCACACCGACGTAGCCCAAAGATTCTTTAGAAACTTACCCCCTTGGATCATTTACCCATGACACTCTTACCTTTCCACTTTAATCAAAACTGATGATATCAAAATTTTTCAATTTTTTTGTTTTAGATAGATCTACCCACGCTTGCTTGAAGGCAGTTTAACGTTATCATGTGGTTCCTAGTGTAGGATATCGATAGCGATTTATCCGTTGGATAGCTTTATCTACCCTTTGAACAAATGGACCTTGTTTTCGATGTTCGTCTGCTTTCGAAATGAATTGGTGAAAGTGATTTTTTTTCTGCTGGTGAAAGAAAATAATATTAAAACTGACTGTTGATAATCAATAGTGCCCAATGTCTTTTAAGAAATAGTTCTTATAGGAACATCGAGTTACATGTACATTGATCTTCCGAAAAGTCTTTAAATTGCGACCATCAATTGGTAATGCCATGAAATTCTGTCAAACAAAAATGAATTATTAATGTCTTGCCGTCCATTTGATCAAGTTAACCTCTTGAACAGTTGAGTTATATTAATTCACTAATTAGATTCTGCGTAGAGTCATGAATCACCTTCTGAACCTGTAATCATACAGCTGTATTATCTCATTTAAAAGGAACCCTTTTCTGTACAAGAGTGTTGTTGTGGTTCAGAAGCTATTTTTTTTCCTTACCAGCTCCTGAAGCCCCACATCCACATAATATAACCGATGTTGAGGTTTCTCAGACAGCTGTGGATATTTATCTGTGGCCTGTTGAACAAAAATATGGTCCAGTAAGGTAATTATCAATAAGAATGTGATTTTCTAAAGAACCAGAGGTGGAATAGATCCTGCATTAAGATATAAGGTAAGATTACCTGCCGCTTCTCGATAAATGAGGTCACGCTCCCTCCACGAAGGCTGGATTCGTGCGTGCGACAGAAATTAAACTTAAGAGGCGTTAGATATTTAATAATTTTTGAAAAAGGTTCATTAAAAGTGTCCTTTAGGAAATCAAATTTAAGAGGCGTTAGATGTTTTATAATTCTTGAAAAAGGTTCATTAAAAGGGTCCTTTAGGAAATATTAAATGAATTACGAAACTGTCGGCGGATTCTCGATGTTAATGGTCAGTGGCCTCTAAATGCTATCTTAATGGCCTCTTTTCGAGATGTTACCCATTAGTCTGGCATTTTGTTTTATACCTTTCAGTGCTTATCAGGTTATTGTTCTGAAAACCGCTAATGGCGTTAAAGAGCTTCCAGACAATTATGATTCAAAACTGAAAGCTGCCAGTGATGCTAAGAAAGAGAACGTGAATTTTTACATTGCTGCTGAGATAGAAAATGACCCATTACTCAGCAAACCTCAGAAATTTACCGTTGGCGATGGTCATAAAACTAAGGAATTTGTGAATGAAGAACTTGAGAAAGGAGAAAACTACATTGTGTATGAGAGAGCTCTAACTAAAGCCGAGAAGGTATGTAAACTACTTATTTAAAAAATTTTCCTCTTTTTTTACAACCAGAATCATATGACCATCAGCGTGGTGAAACGGTCTGCCTTTTCTTCTGGAAAAATATGTAACCCCTCTCTATAGAGATTTGACCCTGGAGGAGGCCTACTTTAAACTCACTAGAGCACAATCGTGCTCCCATTAGTTTTACAACTGGGTTTATTGACCTTTTTCCGAGTCGATTTTTAAGAGTAGCTTGCTAGACAGTACCTATCTGTATTTGCACTGCAAATACAGAGAAAGGTGTATGTAAACACATGTCCTCCTAGTGTATGTAAACACATACACTAGGAGGTTATGTAATCGAACCACACAATAACTTTGCAGTTCCTTTGCTCTCGATTCAGTGGCCTCTTTGATTTTAAAGCACGTGCTCTTTTTGTTTTTGTTTTTGTATATTTCACAGGGGGAATTAAAGGGATACGCAAGCATAGTTGCCAAAATTTCCATCACCTCTACTACCACGGGTTTGTCTATATTGTACTTAATAAGCAATGAAGTTACATATTGTACTACAAAGTAACAGAGAGCAAAATGATTTCTGGAGCAGTTCTTTACTTGCAAGAATGTTGGCTCCGAGAGCCTCATGCCTAGGCGGGTATTAATTACAACTGGCCTGGAGATTCTCCTCCTCAGATTATCTAGATCATCAAGCTGTGCTCAATCCAAAACACCGACTTCGAGTGTTCACCGTTTACCCCAGATTTTGTCTCACTCGTGATCAGTTTCGTAGCAACCTAAATTTGGTGACGGTAATAAGCTGCATCGCACATCGGAGCCAACAAAATGATTTTGATAACACAATTGCGGTGTGTCACAGACTCTCTCGTCTTGTTCAATAAAGTTTAGAAACTGGACTTGGCGCTGATTTTTTAAATTAAATTGCTCGTAGTACTGAGCTTTATTGAGCTACGTCACAATATTTTGTGTGTTTTTTTTTTGCCGTTTTGTTCCTGAGAAACTGTAATGAATGCGAGGGAAACCATAAGTTAATTGATATCCAGGGTAAACAAACACAATAAAAAGTACGAATGAGCCTAAAAAGAACAAGGATGGTTAAGAATGGAGAAGTTTGACAGCGATTACTAATGAAGAAGTTCTATTTTGACAGTAGCAGGAAACAATGATACAGTTAGTAGTACAAGTCAGCACTCCAAGCTGCAATCATTTTGGTTGCCATGGCGACGAAATTCTCAGCGAAAGTCGACGAATTTGCCACATGTTTTCGGCTGTCAAGTAGCAAGCTGTAATGCTTTCATGTTTTAACAAAATTTAATGTCCCATACTAGGGGCTTTAGTCTTGAGATGTCACGCGAGCCTTTAAAATAATTGTCGGCCACTGTCGACTAAAATTCTTTCTCTTACGACGAATACCTGGTTTTCGGCTGCCAACTGTCTGCTCTGAAACAACTTTAAGCTTGGAGCACTGCAAGTAGCAATTCCAGAAGAGCTTAATTATTAAATGCTCTTTACATTTTTCTCATGCAGAAGGTGAGAAAAAGGAAACGTCCAGCGGTTCTAACGCTGCGGCTGTTGCTGTACCAGTAGTCCTGTTGTTACTCCTCATACCAGCAGTTGTTGTCGCTGTGTTCCTATACCAGAGGTTTGTTTCTTTTTAAGACTGAATCCTAGTGACTGGGCGTAGAAAAAAGTATGGCAGCCGAATATTCGATATTTTGCTCTTTTTTTTAGGAGAAGGCAGTCAAGATCCAAAAGTGCCGGGGAAAGATCTGTTCAACTAGATGACATTAAAGACGATTCTCAAGACCCTACCTCAAGTACATCAAATCTGGTCTATCAAAATGTAGGAGACATTCGTCGAACAATTCATGGTAATTTTTCGTAGATAAAGTACAATATACATGTTAGTTTCTAGGAGAGGGTCATTGAATAACTTTCACGGTTGAAGTCATAACGTTCGTACAATTAGCTACGATCGAATCGTTATTTTCATGCTAAAAAGGATTGTTGGGATGCCTTGCTAAATTTTTACTTAAACTGTGACTGACTTATGTATTGTCTGTGTAACAAAGTTATATCTTCAAAGTCAAAATTTGGATCAGCATCATTTCAACTAGGAAAGTGGTTTGTACCAGGAGCAATTTTTAATCGTGTAGTCAAGTTTGCCGTGACGCTATTTGCTGCAAGATTCAAATAGTGTAACTCGGTCGTGATTGCACCAATCAACTATTACGAACCAGATTTAGTTACATCACTTGAATAAAAAAACAATTTCTCACTTAATTGTGCTGATGAAATTTTCCCAGGTCGTTTAAAGGTCTTCATCGCAGTCGACAACAGTCCTTTTCAAAACAACCCTCACCTGGTCTATTGGACTGCGTGTAACTGGTCATCGTTTTTAAATACATAAAAAAATAATCAAACTAGTTGATTGAGGACTTGTATCAAAAGAAAGTTGTTACTATATATTTAAAGTTAAATTACCTTGGTACATGATTCTCAGACAGCAGATACCTTGAGTCTAAAAATAACTTTGTGGGGGTAGTGGAGCTACTCCAGATTTAAAGGTTACTCAAGGAATACACTCTCGTAGCTTGTTCGTTACTTGAGCTATATCTCAAGGTCGTGGTAGGTGTTTCTTGTTGAGTGTAGCAAACGAAACGGAGCAGTTGGAGCGTATCTGTTACCAAGGAGGAGAATTAATAACACGGTCGAGTGTCCAGAGAGAAGATCAAAGGAATTGTGGAGTTCCTTATGAGCGATTTTTCTACCCTACAGGTGCTGAGAAACAGCCTGTTAGTGAAGAAGAAGAAGCTATTTACAGTGAGGCTGACGATGGTAAACCCAAACCAATACCTGTGGCTGAGTTTCCAAAATACTTCAAGAAAAAATCAGAAAATGGTGCCATTGTGTTGCGAGAGGAATTTAAGGTAATTATCTATTATAGTTTTTACTTCTTTCCTTTTCTTTCGTATTATCGTATTATTGTATGATACAGTAATTATGAATATTTCTCGAATTGTTTCGTGTTTTTTATTTTCTTAATGGACAACTTGACATATATATGCTTCAGTACATTATCTATATCCATTTTTGCAAAAGCGTAAGAACAATTTTTTGGATGTCGTTGCAAGGGTCGAAAAAAGTGATGACATCTCATCGGTTTTGATAAGAGCACATGTATTGCAACTTAGGTCATACCTTTTCCAGTATTTACCAGGTGGGATGCAGTTTGCTTGGGAGATCGGTAAGAGTAACAGAGGCAAGAACCGTTATGGAAACATTGTTTCATGTGAGTACATTCCATCAACTTTGTAAGTATTTTTATGCAACGGTAGCTATGTAAAACCTAGAAGTTTAGATAACTAGAGGTCAGCTTCTAGTGCAGGGACTGTAACTGGTGCTTCCCCTTTCAGTTGTCTTGTGAGGCAATGAAGTCCAACCAACTTAATAACCACCTCTCAGCTGGATGGTTAGCTCCGTTGATAGAGTATTGCACTGATATCACAGAGGTCATGGGTTCAAATCCCGATCAGGCCTGAATTTTTTTTTCAAATCCCATTGTTGATAAATCGCAGAACTATACTGGGATTAATAATCGCTTCAAAGTTGGTGATTTAGGAAGTGGTGAGCTTAAATCTTGAGAGATTATTATGTTTTAATCCAAATTTTGAACCTTACGTTCAAAGCGCATCATTCTTAAGATTTTGCATTTCACACCATAAAAAAAAACTGTTGAAAACTTCAATAGAAACTGAACAAACGATTGTGTTTGTTCTCAGATGATCATTCTCGCGTTTTGTTGGAGGAAATAGAGGGTGACAAAAACTCCAGCTACATCAATGCAAGCTACATTCCGGTCAGTAACAAAAAAAGCATACGACAACGTGAACACAACGACACAATACGACATGACACGACAAGACAAAGAAGAACGACAAAGTCAACCCTACTTGTTTGATATAATGAATAAATAAATAGATAAACAATCGATATTTGAGTTGATTATCGAGAATTTCTGTTATCTTTTTCAAATATCTCTCCTCAGACCTACGATGAGGTCACCATGACCTATATCGCAACACAAGGTAAATATTACTTGAGGTGTCTCGTGGATACACTGTAAGTTGTCGCACGCTAACTCGTATTGCTGTTGAACAGCTCGTGGGAAATCTGACGCAACATAGAGTCAGAGGGCTAGCAAATGTCCCATGATGATGAGGGTCACTCTCACCAGGTTCTTTGTCGGTATATTTAATCGTATACCCTTTCCAAATGGGGCACCCCTGGAACTAACAAAAGCGTCGTCGATCCCATCGTTTTTGTTCATTGTAGGAACAAAGCTTTTAGAAAACTCAGACGATAGTTTCTAGACTTTTAGGGGGCGAAGCTTATCACTCGTCATTACAGGGTTCCATCAACTTGTTGGGCTTTTTGTTGTGGCCTTTTACCAGAATTTTGCGTTGTTTCAGTGTTCTACTCTGTGGGCAGAAGCATTCAGGGAATAAAGCAGCAATAAATGATGAAAACTCCCATACTCCCAAAAAAATGACTTGTCCCATTCTTTTGTAGCTAAATGCCAAAAAGCTCCTATGAAATTAACTTATGTTTCGCCTCTCTTTTACAATTATTCTTACTGCTGTTTAGGTCCAACTTCTACAACTATCGCTGATTTCTGGCGAATGGTCTGGCAGGAAAACAGTTTCATCATTGTGATGCTTACAAACCTGGTTGAGCTGGGAAAGGTAGACGTAGCGCAAGTTTTTAGTTTGATGTTGAACGTAATCCAGAGTTTCAGTGGTTTTTCATTTTCTACACTTTATGAGTAGTCTGTAAAACATGCATCATAATGTCAGCCAGCAAGCCACTCAGCGATCAGGCCACTTGTATAGCATGCTGTACGATATATATAGCATCAACCTTTTTTTTTCCTATCATATCTTTAGGGCAAATGCGATCAGTATTGGCCAGACGATACTTCCAAATTTGGTGCTATCACAGTTACCCTACACAAGACTGAAACATTTGCCGATTACGTCATCAGGTCATTGATTGTGACAAAGGTGGGTTGTCTCTGTTCGAAATGAAATTACGTTATTTGGAATACGACGTCTTGCATTTTTTTACTGTAAACTACTTACAAAGAATGACTGCGTATTTTAAACTAAGAGAGCTCCCTCTGTAACAACATTCCCAACTTGAGAACGAATTTTCACTTAGGACTCAGAAAAAAGGGCCGTGCAGCAGTTTCATTACGTCACTTGGCCAGACAAAGGTGTCCCACAACATTCCACAGCTCTACTTGGATTTAGACAAAAGATTCATGCGAGGCACCAGGCGACTGGTGGACCTCTTGTTGTGCATTGCAGGTAAAAAGCATGGTAAAATTTGAAGACTTCAAATTAAATGCTTCACATTCGCAAATCTTTATCGCATGTTAGTTTAGTTCTTTTGTAGATATTTCAATTGCGATTTCTATCTGGTTTGGATAATAGGAAATAAACGTTTTGATCTGAAGAAAGATTAATATCACAAGGAACCTAAAAGAACTGAAATTAAAACAGTAAAACTGTCTTAAGTGTTAGAATTATATGCGTTAGTGTAGGGCTTTTTTCTATAGTCAGCTCCCATGAGTGACTAAGACAGAATTTCTCCTTACAATATCAATACAATGTCAACCAGATAGATGATGAGCATAAAGAGAAATATCAGCTTGGGGATAATTAGCTGATCCGATACTTAATTCTCCGAACTAACATATTAAGAATTGTATGGTTGACAGTTAGGAGAATTACAAATTTGGTCGAGGAGCTATAGGGTTAATAAATAGATCTCAATTGTTTACTCTCAATACTCTTACTGATCACACCAATGATATCGAGAATTTTAAAAACGCAAGTGAACCCTGCTAGAAGCGAAGCCTAGAGGTATCTGATGTATTTCAAAAGTCAGGTCTCCAACTTTTACCTTCTACTCGTGCCGTTTCCTCTTTATTGGTCGCGATCCATAATAGTTCTTGCTATTTTTCCTCAATGTCTATTGTTCTCTCCGTTGGTTGTTACTTACATCTGTTGTTACCTTTGTACAGTGCTGGTGTTGGTCGAACTGGCACATACATTGCTATCGACGCCATGTTGGAGAGTGCTGAGAAGATAAAAACTGTGTTTATACAGAATTACGTGCAAGTCATGCGTAGATCTCGTCCTCATATGGTTCAGAAAGATGTAAGTTTAAAAATTTAACTGTTTTCCATAAGAATAAAAGAAGCAAAAGTCTTATTTATTCTCCCCCAGTGCATCTTTAGAAAGAGCATGCGTCATGATATTAAAACTGATACAGTGTCTTAATAACCCAAGCCTGGTCATTATGATGACCGTCAAAGGCCTTTTTATGATTTCGATATGACACCCAAATGATTTTATATAAAATCCTAACCTTTTGCAATTTCCATCTGAAAATTTCCATACAGTACAGAGTTTATGTAAAACTGAATATCACAGTGAGCACCACTCTTTTTTAACTTCTAGAGTAATAAATAACTCGTTCCTCAGTATCTTATAACTCATTCACACTAACAAAACATGCTCAGTTAAACCGAATTTTACTGAATGAAAACCATAAACAGAAAACTGAAAAATTGAAATTTTCATAATACTTAAGTACTCGCTTACTTGTATTTTCAATTTGCTACATTTAAACATTGGTTCTATGAAGACAAGAAATTAAACCATAGGTAGAATTCCGTTAGCTACATTGTTGCAGTCGCTGCGCGCTGGACAAAATCTTTGAAATTTTTTACACTTTCGATCGCTTTCCACAGGAGTGGTCTGGCCAAAAATCATTTTTGGATTGTGGCGACGCAAAAAAAGAGAATTGGAGAACAACTAAACTATTTTTGAAACATGTGTCCTAAACCCCTTTCATGGGCAAAAAATAAAAGAAAACTTTTTTCCGACGGGAAGTTGAGTGGACCGCTCCTAGCGAGAGTGGCACTTAAAACATGTCTAAGCTTTGTTGTGTAAATGAGGTTTGAATAATTTGAGAATACGACTGATATATGGAAAAATGGCCAACCTTCTTTGTGGAGTTCAGGTTTGCTCTTCGGCCAACGCCAGGAACGGTCACGGTTTTAAAAACGATGATGTTTTGGTTGGAAGCGAGGATACAGGGTTTATTTGTCGTGGATGTTTTAGTTTGACGGTGAGGAATTTCCTAAATTTAGCTTCATCAAAAACTGTCCTTTGCAACAGTATTGGTATTTACTTTATCTCTGTATAGGACCAGTATGTTTTCTTGCACCAAGCAGTGATGGAAGCCTTGGTATGTGGAAATACAGAGATTATCCCTCAGGACCTACGAATTGCGACAAACAAGCTTGCCAAGGTGCATAAACCATCCAAAAAGACTGGATATGAACGAGAGTTAAAGGCAAGTGATAACTATTCCTTGTAACTGAATTTGGTTTTATATGTTATTAATTGTGCGTAAACGTAAATGCTGACAAGACAGCTTATTACTTGCTTCTGGAGATTCTTTTAAAGACGTGTCTATGTGACTTTGTTAACTTCATGTTCACATCTCATCTACAGTTCTTAAAGACAAAAAAATCTCGAAAAATTAGTTAGTCAGACGTAATTATCAAAATACAAAGCGTGCTTTTGTTCATGGATAACTCCTGCAAATTTCTTTTTAACATACATATTAGTGGCAGATGAACTACTCTGTAATTTGTTGATCTTACATCACAATATTTTGTTTCACTTTCTATTAATTTAATTTGTGTGTGTTTTGCGCGAAAAAAAATCAGATTACCTTTAGCCTAAATGAAACAGCAGTTTATTAGTTCGGTAAGAAAAAAAAATGCTATGGAAACAGCAATAAATCAAGACCAAACAAAAATGGCTTAAGATGGAGGGGATTAAAACTGGATAGGACGGACTGAGAGAATTTTATGTTTTGTAGCGCTTGGAGCTTGTAACAGACGCCCACGCTTCTCAAGAAGTAGCAACGAACGCATTTATGCCCGCAAACGTCGTCAAGAACAGGTTCCCCAACATTGTTCCGCGTAAGTGTTCCTTTGTCTTTGTTTGCATTGCTTCCGAAACACTAAACAAAACTTTTGCTTACTCCTGAATTGTTTTCTAGTGGAGTCTTAAACCGAGTGGGGTCTCATTCGGTCTGTGATCTTACCAGTGATCCACGAAATCGAAAGACCACAAGCACCGTTAATTTTTTTGTCACAAGATAGATTTGGACGACAGAAAGTTCTGTTACTGAACAATCAAGACTGTCACAGCATTTTGGGAACAAATACACATTGATTACGCGCGAACTATCCTTTCTTACTCTGCAGTTACAGGCATGAATAGTGCACTGTTAGTGTTCGGGACATCTTTCTTGTTTTGTTCGCTATTTGAAAGTGAAATTTCACGAAGTGGGGAGAAACACGAGACATGGTCGAGTGTTTCTCCCTACCCTTCTTTCGTGTTTTAGCCGCTTCTTGCGTTCTCTACAACAGAACAGAGCATAGTCAGGGCTTCTCTATTTGTTAAGTGATGGTTAAGTCGCTGTGTTGTGTTTTAGGACAACTTACGTCGACTAGCTAGAAGTATCTCTAGGATAACTAGAATGCGTAAAATTTGACAACTGGTTCCCTACCTTTCCACTCCAAATTTCAGGTGGCGCCACACATCGAATAATGTTTCCAAACGATAGATCTGAGACAATCTTTATAACTTTTGTTAGGTATATTTTTTGTTGCACAAATGCCTTTATATTTTAAACATTAAACACTTCTATTCGATTTTGTACCAGTGGACAATGCTCGAGTGCATTTACAAGCGTCTTCACAAGAAAAGAGTTACATCAATGCCTCTTATGTAGATGTAAGTGCAAAAATGCCCTTGTAAAATTTTTATAATATATTCTGTAATTCTAGCGTGCTGATAGGAAAAGACTCAGTATTTTCTGGTTCTTTAGAAAGCTTTCTGTTGCAACGTGTCCGTATAGTAGATTTTTTAATTCAGTCAACCCATAAAAAGATCTTTATTTCTATTCAAGTTTTCCTTCTTGGGTTGTGGTGGTGTTATTCTTTTCGTATTGGTATATTCGTGTTGCTTAACTTGACGTCCATATTTTTCTTTGATCTCTTATTTACCAGGACTACACACAACGTAATGCATACATCCTGACACAAGCTCCGTTAGACTGCACTATTATAGACTTCTGGCTTATGATTTCTCAGTATGATATTGGCACAATTGTGATGTTGAATAACTTGGAAGAAGGAAAGCAGGTAAAAATCATGTCATTTTTTTTGAAAAGCATATAGCAACACTCTTCACTCAGTGTTTGCAACGAAGTGTGCAAAATATGCCTAAACAATCTGCTAGAGCTATGCTAGATTGTGCTAGAAATCACGTGATTTATTTCAAAACAGCCAGCTACTGATATGGGTTACTATTGGTATTTGTGGTGAACTTTGATAAATTACCTCTATTCGTTAAACAAATTGGTAAAGAAATAATTATTTAAGTTATTAAGACATTTTGGCAGGACGCATCACTGTATTCCGGTTATCATCTTAACACTTGTAGAATGAGGAGCCATTTTGTACCCTTCATCGTCGAGATAAAGTAACAATTTACAACGATTGACTCACTGAGTATGCTCTCAAATGTCAGTGAGACGCTATAGTTGGAACTCTTTTTCGGAAAATCCTTCCTATCATCATGCTCACCATCATATCACATATATTTAGTTATTCGTGTCACGGATCATACATGTAATACTATCAGAGTTACCCACAATACTGGCATCATGCTCTGCCATCATATCAAGTATATTTAGTTATTAATATCACCACCAGACGATTCAGCGTCGAGAATGCAGCGGTACAGTTTGTTTGTTCTAGAATTGTAAGGTCCCATTTTTTCTGGTTAGTTTGGAGGAAACTTTTATCTACACCAACAGGAGGCATTTGTGCATTCTTGATGCGCGGAAGTTCGACCTTAAGTATTTCACTGTTACGAGAGAGAGACCAATGAGTAATTTTTTCCTGTCTAAATCAAAACACTCTTTGGCAGAAAGGTGATGAGTGCAGAGGAAAATGTAAAGAAGAGGAGATCGTTTGAATGAACACGAGATTTTCTGAACGTATTCATGATTGCGGAATCTGCTGGTTGAAATAATTCCTTTTTGATTTGTTTTTGTTTGTTTGTTTTTCGAATTTCAATGTTTCATTCTACGTAATCAAATAAATCCTGCGTGGAAAATTGATTTTTGTTCATTACGGAATATGTTTGGCAACGTTACAGACAATCCCACGATTCAACTCACCACTAAGTTAATTGTACAACAAGCATTAAAAAAATAAATCACAATGTTTTATGAAAAAAAAAGTAAGTTCATACTTTATCTAAGTATTTACGACAACAACAAAAAAGAGACCTGACTATGTGATCACGTTGGACTATGCGGCCCACGTGATAACTGATTTAAAATAAATTGACCTCATGTTCCTCAAAATAATAGTTTGATTTGCTTCTAATTAACTTCGTTCTTCAGCCCCCTAAGAAGACGTCAACTTTACAGCATATACAATACACTGGTTGGGCCAATGAAAACTCATGCCCAGATCCCCAGGATATACTCGACCTGATGACTACTGTACAGCAGTCTCAGCAGCAATCAGGAAATAGAGTCATAGTTTTCCAGTGCGGGTATAAAGAGCACGTCTCTTATTGATGTTATCGTACGTTTAAATGTTGTACTAGACATGATTCTAAACCCACTAGGCGTTTAGCTGATAATAGTGCACTCACGCTAGAATAGCGTATGGTTACTCGCATCATGTATGACTTTATGTACATACTTTTTGCATAACGCGTTCAGATTGTAAACAGAACATAAAACAACATATCTTGTCTACAAAAGATACAACTATCAAGAGTGTCTATATTAGATACTGCTATCTACCTCTATCTACAAGCACCCATTTACACTATCTGCGTTAGATTGAGCTATCCACGCTGACTATATCAGATGAGCCATCTTCACCGTCTACAGTACATACAGCTATCTAAACTGTCTCTATTAGATACAAATATTTACATTTTCTAAAGTATATACAGTTTTTCCCATTGTGACAATTAGATAATCAATATACATTATCTACAGTAAATACAGCTTAGTTTATTCACTTTCTACAGTGGATAAAGCTATCCACGCCATCTACAACAGATACAGTATTATCAGGAGACAGTTTAGTTGGCTGTATCCGGCGTGGTCGGTGTTAATGGTTTTATCTTTCTGAAAACAGTGGATACTTGACACTTTGGAAGTTCGATGCTAGGAGAAAAAAGGCAAGAACCTGTAATACGGATCCATCACTGTACACTTTTCAACTTTCTTGATTAGTTCTACGTTTATCTTTCTACAGTGATGGTACTGGTCGTAGTGGCTGCGTAGCCACCATAATGTCAGTGATCGAACGAGTCAAGACTGAACAAACAGTTGATGTTTTCCAGACTGTAAAACTAGTTCGAGCAAAGAGACCAGGTGCAGTCAACACTCTGGTGAGTTAAAAGTGTCATGATCCATTGTTATAGCTTTGTTCAGGTTTAAATTGTCAAGGGCGTAACAAAGGAGTTCTACCCCGGGGTGAGTTGGAAAACTAGATATCTGCCTGGGGATGGGTGGAGGGGTGGGTTATGTTCATTTCCTTCCCCCCCCCCCGCCCCAGAAACTGTGCTTGAGCTTCCCATTATGCTGAAATTTATCAAAGGAATCACAGGAGAAGTCATCCCTTCTGGATTTGTAAGAAACAACATAGTCACTTCAAAGATACGTCTGCAAGTTAAATGTGTCGTCTGATCTCTTTTCTGTCGCGTTTTTCATCATGTTTAATAGTTTTTGCTGCTTTTTCACGTCTTAAGCTTACTTTGCACAATGCTGAGCACTCGCAGATCAATCGCATATCCTTCGTGAGCCTAAGGTGTGTTTTTTTTTGTTTTTATCTTTCAGGAGCTGTACATGTTTTGTTACAAAACAGTTCTAGCTTACTTAGACTCTTTCAGTACGTACTCAAACTTTGCAGAATGCTGAAAAGTATTGCGAAGTAAAAAACAGATTTGACAGAAAGGAGTGATGCACATCTTGTGTTTTTACGAAGCAGCTTTTTCCCCTCATATTCAAATTTTTGTAACAAATCATAGTTACCTCTAAGCGGGTGGCCTTTCCCCTTAATAGTTTTGATAAAAAAGTTTTGCTAAAAAAGTTTTTATTACATATTTTAGTTAAAAAAGAAGTTTTTTGTCATAGGAAGTAGGTAAAATGCGTCCGTGCAAGTGAAGGTGTTGTCAGCTGGAAGATGTTCACCACTTGATTGTTGATAAATTTACATCAGATTTTTATATGGTAACTTGACAAACAAGCATGTGTCCCTGTGAGGCCTAGGATTATGGCAATATCATGAATTGTGTTATCCTACTTTTCTAATTATGTAATTAAAAGAAAGAGGTACTAGGTGTATCTACAAAGAAGTTATTACATTTTGTGGAGTTTTGTGGTTTTTTTTTTTAGTTAATTGTAAAAGAAAGTTTTTGATAACTTACATATTTCATGATGTCTTTTTTCTTAAAAGTCTATAAAGTTTCATAGTTATAGTTTTCTTTTAACAGTGTTGGATTAAAAGTGGTTTGTAGTTCTATAGTTTGTTTTGGAGGGTTATGGTGCCTTTTGCATTTTCTCTTTTTATCTGAATTTAATTCACACTGTTTTCAATTAATACATCAGAATTTCTATAAGATTGTATTTTTCTCAGAAGTAAGATAGAATTGTGCAGATTTTTGGTAATTAAATGATTAACTGATATATTCTTTGAACGATTAATTTGGAATTCAAGATATTAAGATAGAATTGTGCAAAGAGTTAGATTTTTGGTAATTAAATGATTAACTGATATATTCTTTCAACGATTAATTTGGAATTCAAACGTGCTAAGCACATTGAAATATATTTTTACTAATGTAAAAGATAGAGTTCACGTATATAGTTAGTACATTAGTATGTTTTATGAATTTTGGAGTGATAGGCTCTGTTACTGATTAAATAATCTTCTACTAAGTTTAAGAGTATCTTTTTTACTTTGACTGCGTCCGACTGTTCTTGAAAATTTCGTTAAAGAAAACCTTCATTACTGAAACTATCTGACGTTAAACCAAATGGAAATAAAGTGGCAGAGAAGGGGCCCTGGGTCTTAGCTGCGGAATATGTCAACTCCCCATAGTTATTTGTAGATAGTCTCACGAACGGAAGTCAGTTTTCCGATACGTCCGCATAGGAAATTCCTGGTGTGATATTCTGGGTGAATAGAATGAACAGCTAAGAGATGAGTTTTGTCGATAAAACGACCTCGAAAAAAGGAAATGATATTTTTAAGCGAAGTGTTCTGATTGGTTACCCGAGCGGGAAAGATGGGTCCCTCTTGTCCGATCGGGATTTCCCGCTTTGATCTCGCGCAAACTTATAAAGTTCGTAATTCTTGGACAATATCAGGGATGAAGTCGCAAATAGTGGCAGAAAAAAGTCAAACTTTCTTTCCCGGCTCTTGAAATAAACCAATTATACTTGATTCTTGATAAAGCGAAATTTCTTTGCTTTATAATAAAACCGTTATTGACTAAGCTTGTTCAGTCATGGTGGTTGGATGTTTGCCTCGTATTAGTCTCATTTTTTTTCTTACCATTTTCATCGATAGACCTCAACTTCGTCTCGGTCCATAAAAATGCGAAAAAGAAAAAGAACTCGGCCAATATCCAATATCCAGCTATCATATCTTCTTCACGAGCGTCTTAAAGAGTAGTTAAATTGAATGCAGAGTAAACGTGTTTGAGTGAAGTGGACCCTTGCCCCCTCACTTGGATAGTGAGAAAACAAAGACATCTTTTGTGCAATGAGCTCTCTATTCAAATGGCCGGTCAATTACGCAAAACAATCGTGATCGTTTACTGTGACAATTCAATTGAAACATGGCGCAGTTTATTCTCAAGCTTTGTTTCCGCGTCGCTTTTCTCGCTTTACTTCTTCCTCTGGCTTCAGGCGAGCACTATATCATTTGAAATCTACTCGTAAGGTGTATTTTGACTTTTATTACTACTATCATCGGAATTGATTGGATATATCTTTCAGTTTCGAGAAGACTTCCGCGTACCATCGCAACTTAATCGCTAATGTCGACAGAATCAATTCCAAAAAGATTAGCTACCCCAGGTTTTATACTTGTTGTAAAAAGATCATCTTAGAGCAAACGGGAAATCTAAAAATCTTTATGCATATGTAACTAGCTCATTTAGGGAAAAAAAATTTACGAAAGTCAATTTAAACTTTTCATTATTAATTAAACAGACAGAGAATCTGAAGCCATTTTCATTGAAGCTATCGGGTGGCAACATTTGCGTCAATTTCAGGTTAAAGCACTCTTGGAAAGCACTCCAGCTGCCAGTTCTCTAAATTTTATTTGGCAGGTTATTTAGTGAGTAAATCCGTTCAAGCGTCGGCTGATAATATCTGAATAATGAATAATAAGCGAAGCTTGGAGGGCAAATGTGAGATTTTGAAAATGATTTCTCAGCTAAGGACATTAACAGCCGATAAGCCAGCAAGCAAGAAGAGGTTAATTTATTTTATAATCCCCCTATTAATTCTCGTACTGTACTTTAGGCAGCAATTGAGATTATTTTTAACGTCACTATCACTGGACAAAAGGGAACAAAGTGGAAAGGAGATCAACGAAAAACTAGGCATAACAGCGGGGAAAAACATTGTCCTTACTTAGTCTTAAGAAAGGTGGTCATTGGTCATTGAGGAGTAGCCCTTTAGCCCTGAAGAATGACAAACATCTGATTTCTCCTTACGGTATCTCCACTACAAAAAAAATCAAGCTCTTGTGACTAAAGGAAATAATCGCTAACTGATTGTTCAGCAACTTTTTTTGTCAGCAATGTAAGAATTGTGTAAAGAACAATATGGAAAATATAATTACTGATTTTAGGGTGTAAAAGATTTCGTAAAAATGTAATTTCCTACTCTGGTTGGTAGAACCAGCTCTTCTACATATTGTTTCAAATTTTCCATGGTTGAAATGTCTCCCAGCAAAATCCTCGAGATTCTCATCGTCTGAGTGAAAACGATTGCGTTGGAAAATTCCTACAGACACGTTTACATTTCAAATATGTGTTCAACGCTCAAAATACTCTGTCAGGATTGAATAAATTTGGGTTGATTACTTCATTTACTAAATTCTGATACATAAAACAACTTGTGAACATTCAGTCCAAACAGTCCTTCGAGGTAAAAGGGCGCCATGAATCTCTCTGACAAAAAATTCATTCTCATCCTTGACAAACTTGGGTTTCGAAGCTAATGGAACAACCTTGTAGAGAATCATACCGAGGGTAAGTTTCAGTATAATACAAATACAGGTAATTATCTAAGATATTGTCAAAAATATTCATCTTAATATTAAAATTTTTTTTTTAACTTTTTAAGCACGCTAGGTCTCACTGGTTTCATGTCTGCCTCAGAAACGAGTCTTTTCTAATCTTCCGGACAAACATTTATCCATTTTGCTTAAATTTGGGCTTTATGAAAGCATACACAAATATGTTTGTTTGTGTTTCTCAAGCGAGCACGGTGCGCGATTCACACGGGCGCACGCCCGCGGCAGGGGAACTTATGCCCCCGGGATTCACGCTCGTAGTTTGCCTCGCACCGGTGCCCTTTTTGGTTTACGCCATGTGTCTGTGACAATAATTTATCGAGCTGTTCCCAGTGGAAGGATACAGGGTAAAGGAAAAGTTGACTTTGACGGAGTCAAATCTTCACCAGATCGACAGTCAAGTTATGAACAAGCTTTAGACCCAAATACGTATTTGGAACTCAAAGCCAGGCCCTCGAACCATGAACAGTCTAATGTTCCAACTGAGTATCATTCGCTACAGGAAATACCCAAGAACCCCGAATATTACAATATGGTGCTTCACAAAGAAAATGGCGGGAAACAAAATGAAGAAGTATATAAGGAAATATGATAATCCCCAAATAATTTTCTCAAGAACAGACATGACTACAATTGGTTTCTGATCAAGGAAGTTCATCAGCCAATTTACGCCAGTAAGGCTGTAAGAGCTTCCTCAGCTAGCAACAACTTTTAATTTGGTCGATTCGAAAGTAATTATATTAATCTTTCTCATATTTTACGCATATCTGTATAATTATAAGGAATCTTTGTTATCAAGTGAGATTTAATCTACAATTGCATGAAAATTTCAATTCAAGTTAAAATGAGTCCTGAACCAGAATTGAATTGAAATAGCGAATTTGCAAACACGTTAAAGAGCCGTTAGACGTAAAAATGGAGCAAAACGTAAAAATGTAATGGAAGTTGTTCCTTATATTTTATCTTTAAAGGAGGATTACATTTGTAATGATTTTATACATAGTAGATTCTTCTAAATCGTAGAACAAATTTATTGGTTTGTACTCTTCCTTTGAAGAAATTGAAAACTGTTAGCTAACAGAATATTACAAATTGAAAAAAAGCTTGGAAAGATTTTTATAATGCAATAACATATAAGTAGATAAATGAATAGAAAATTTACACTCTAGTCTCTTGAAGATATTTCTAAGTCATAGCCTATTTGTACAAATTTGTTTAATATCAAAGCAAAATTCATTTCCATCTTCCTTCTCGAGTTGCGATGTTGTTATTCTTTTCGTATTGATATACTCACGTTGCTTTACTTGACGTTCGTACTTTCTTCTGATCTTTATTTATCAGGATTACAGACAACGTAATGCGTACATTCTGACTCAAGCTCCATTAGATAACAGTATTGTCTCGGTCCATAAAAATGTAAAAGAAAAAAAGGAACTCGGCCCATATCCAGGCAGCTTCGTCAATAACGCATATATTGACACATTGTAGCGAAAGAGTTCACTTTTTATTGAACCAAAAGTGTTTGTGTAGTTAAAACGAGCGTGCGATAACTAGTCGTTGCATTCTTCAAATCACAGTGACCTCCCATGGACGAGTAGTAGACACTGAATTGACCAATCAGAGCGCGCGCTTTATGTTGGTCATGTTTCAAAACGTACTTGGAAATTCTGAAAAACCCAATGATTAAATTATCATTGCTACATCCTTAGCATCATCAAAGGGTGAAATTCAAACTGACGAAAAAAACCGACACACACTCTTCTATAATAACTATAAATACTGTAAAGAACTAAATATATCATCATTAAGAAATTAACATAAACTGATTGAAAACTGCATATCTACATGTACTGACGATATTCCTACAAATTATACAAAGACAAGCTTAGTGTTGTGGCGAATGTGTTCTTATTTTTTTGATTTCTCACAAATGGGTCTTATATTTCCACACCCGTTAATTTACACGTATTTTATTGGTTTTTCCACATATCATCTCTACACCATTATTTTTACACTCTATGTAAATTACGCCCCCCTTTGTGCATCATGTTTCACGTCCCTTTTAATAGCGTGTCTTATTTTGCGTCGATGTAAACCCATTTCCCACGAGTGTTTCGTGTCTCATGTATTCCTAGAGCATCATGTAACGTTTTTGTCTCGTGGTATCTTCGCATTTATTTTTCCCGTCTTGTATGTTGCGAAAGTCGTTTTCCTGTTTCTTAGGAATTAACTTCTTCTTCACGTGCGAAGTAAAGAGTAGTTAAATTGAATTCTGAGTAAGCGTGTTTGTGTGAAGAGGGCCCTTGACCCTTTACCAAGATAGTGAGAAAACAAAGACATCTTGCGTGACCGCATACCGTGACACAATCGAAACATGGCGCAGTTTAATCTCGAGCTTTGTTCCTGTGTAGTTGTTCTCGTTGTATTTCTTCCTCTGGCTTCAGGTGAGCACCATATCATATCAAATCTACTCAAAAGGTTTATTTTCATTTGAATACTACATCTAACGGAATTGGTGGGTTACATCTTTCAATTTTTCGAGTTCCGCCTACCATCGCAACTTAATCGCGAATGCGGACAACATCAATACCAAAAAGATTAGAGAGCTGCTTCGGGTTCCGTCGCGGTTGCAGAATAAAGTATTGTTTATAAATCTTTAGATAGATGCCAAGCTCTCTTTCAAAACAATCCTTTCCAAAGCATGTTTGGGAATGTGACCAAACAATGGAACAAATTTGGATTTGTTCGCTTCATTTACTAAATGCTAATGTACGTTCAAGCAACATTTGAACATTCAGTCCAAACAGTCCCTGGGGCAAAAGGACGCCATGTATCTTTCTGACAAAAAATTAATTCTCATCCTTGACAAACTTGGGTTTTGAAGCTAAGGGAACAACCTTGTAGAGAATCATACCGAGGGCAAGTTTAAATGTAATAATAATACAAGTCATTTAACTGTGATTTTCTCGTCAAAAATATTGATTACGATCGTCGTTAACTAAACTTCTAAGCATGCGTTAAGCATTCATTGATTCCATGTCTGCCTCAGAAACATGTGTTTTCTAATCTCGCGGAAAAAAATCAATACATTATGCTTACATACTAGCTCTAGGAGAGCAAACTCAATTTGAAACTGAAATCGCGGTGAATCAATTATTATTTATTTGCGTTTCTCAAGCGAGCAAGGTGCGTGATTTACACGCGCGCGAGGCCATTTGTTTCTGCCCCCGCGAGTCACGCTCATGGCTGCCTCTCGCCTAGTTTCCATGTAGTTAACGAAATGCGTCTGTGGCGATAAAACATAGAGTGTCGGACAGAAAGCGAATAGCTACCACTGCATTGACTGACCGGCTTCGCAAAATACCAATTTACAATTACTGTATTTCTTCGAGTAAGCGCTCACGCTTTGATAATCGTCCTTTCCCGAATAAGCGACCCCCTACCTCACTTTCTTCAATGAATAATAGGGATACAAGGAAATCATGTTTCTATTGCCACTTTATCTATATTATTTTAGGCTTCAACCAACGCGGAACTAGTACAGGAGAATAGGGTCTTTTCCGTTTCAGTTATGTCTATATCTATTTGCTTGCAGAGTTCCGTTAAAATGGCTTACTATAATTTGCGAAACGAAATGAAACGAAACGAAACGGAATGAAACGAAACGAAACGAAATGAAAATCTGTAATTTGTGAAATGGAGATATGCTAATGATTTCCAGAATCGAAATTTATATTTTGCAAACCACAAGCATATTTCCATTTCGCAAAATACAGATTTCTATTTTGCAAATCATTAGCATATTCCATTTCCATCGCAAAGTACACATCTGTAATTTGCGAAATGAAAATATGCTAATGATTTGCTAAATAGAAATCTATAATTTAAGAAAAAATTTTTTCTGAGACTCAAGAAAATCAAAGAGCTTGGGTCAGTTACATTTTCTTAGCAAATATGATATCTCATCTAGAAACATGCTGCGACACTTTCTATGTGCATTTCCGGTCACTTAGGTGTCGTGTCACGCATTCGAGTTATTCATCGACAACGTACATTGATTACACTTAATAGACGGCACAGCTACAGCGTCAACTAACATTTCAAATTACTTTTGCGCTCTATGGCCTAAACGAAGCATTGAGTTATTCACGAAGGTAGTGGAGATTCGCAAAGTTCACCACGCAGATTTTGCAAAGCATTAGCATATTTCCATTAAGCAATTTACAGATTTCTAGAAATCTGTAATTTGCGAAACGGAAATATGCTTATAATTTGCAAAATAGGAATTTATATTTTGCAAGTCATTAGCACATTTCCATTTTGTAAGTTACAGATTTTCGTTTCGTTTCGTTTTGCAAATTACAGTAAGCCTTTTCGCAACTTGCTGTAAGCCGTTAAAATTTTAAATAAGCACCCGGGCCTTTCGTTAAGGAAATACGGTACTTTGTGAAGTGAATAATGCAAATTAATGGCTTTAAAGTATTGGGTAAAAATACAAACTGAGTTGAAGTGAGAGTTGGTCTACAGATCATGTACACGTTATTTGTCTGATCACTTGAATTATTAAACATGATTTGTATAAAGATACATGGAGCCTCATCGTGGTCTCAACTTATATTTTATTTGGTAAACGAACGAAAAAAAACTCAGAAATCTACATGCCTTATGCTTACACGTCCCACGGCGCATGCATAAGACCGCAGACCTAAAATGATTTCAATTTGCATGGCACTATGAAGGCTGATTCTAAATTATTACCTTGTAGCTTGTGAAATGGAGGCCATTGGTTTGGCGTTTGGTGGTACAGTTCCAGATAGCAGCTTCTCTGCCTCATCGCATTATGATCATAGGTATAAACCCTCTTATGGTCGACTTAATGGAAATAGCCGGGGTTGGGCACCCAAAACTACGTTCGATCCTGCTGACTACCTCCAAATTGACCTTCTGTATGAGTATGTTATCTGTGCTGTTGCTACCCAAGGAGCTAATGGTATCAATGAGTGGACAAAAAACTACGAGATTCAGTTATCAGTGGATGGTACCACTATGGTTACCTACCAAGAAAACAATGCAGACAGGGTAAGTTTATATAAAAGTCATGTGAATATTCATGTAAGTTACAAAAAAGCCAATAGTATATAGGTCCTAGAACACTGTCTCAATTTTTTGAGTCAAGAGGAGGGAGGTAAAAGAAGTGTGTACTGGTCAAGGCTCAGTCTTGTTGTTCAATAAAGTATGTAATCTATAGCAAAGAAAATAAAATGATTGTGTGAAAGGGCTTTCGAAAAATCTTATTTTTCGGTGTTTGTCCAACCAGTGGTTCTCATATTGTAATCTCTCTCGAACTGTACCTCTCCCTTAGGCTATTCACCAGAAATGGTATACAGGGTCACATACCGGTGTTTTTGAGTTAGTTTTGTAACAATAGTAACTAGGTCTTTCAATAGCTATTATAGACGTGTAAGTAACTGATACTTAATAGTGGTCAATGAAGCAGTGCTATTAAGAGTATTTTGACACAATTATTTCACATTTTTTATCACAAACTACAGGTCTTTCTCGGAAACTCAAATCAAAATGGCATCGTAAAAAACAATCTCCAGGAATTTGAAAGTGCAAAGTTTATCCGTTTTAAGCCAACGGCATATAGTGGCTTTAAAGCTCTGAGAGTGGAAGTTTATGGAATACTTCTAACAAAAGGTATTTATTTGCTCTTGTTTTTATCTCCCCCTGAGACAAAAATGAAGTCACATTATTCAAATTATTTGTGGAAGACAAGCCTAGGTAATTGTGCAGAGCTAGCTAACGGCGAGTTATAAACTATCCAATATTGATAGAGCCTTGTAATTGGTCAGGTGAAAATTTTTTTAAAAATAACTTTAAATTCATAGCTGACCATAAGAGATGAGAGAATTTGAAAATCAATAAATTTTAGGTTTTTTTAAACCTTGAATCCACTCTGCTCAGATCCTTCAGGTTCTCTCTATGCTAAATTAAAAACAAAGTTTTGCTTTGATTATTAATCGTGCTTGATATGAAACAGTGTCTGATGTGATTGTAGCATTGTACATTGTAGATTCTGGAGCCCAGTGGGTTTCCATTGCAACAGAATCATTTCTCTCCTTTTATGACACATCTTCACACTCGGGATACAAATAATGTATATTTAATGCATATACATAGTCCCATATCTAAGGCTCTCTAAGGTCATTAGGGTGATTAATTTACATTCATATCACTAAATCAACCAAAAATTACAACAAGCAACTGCTGTTGTTTATTTCAGTTCCATCACAACCTCCGGCAGCCTTCAAGTTAACTGCAAGCTCTTCTACCAGCATCACAGCTTCCTGGCAGTTGCCACCAGTTTTTGCCAGACATGGAAGAAACATTACAGGGTTTAAACTGTTCTACAGAAAGAAAGGTTCTGTGGGGTCAGCAACAACCCTGACTATAAACAGTGGATCGACATTAAGTAGAAATGTCACCTGGCTTGATAAGTACATAGAGTACGAATTTCAAATGTTGGCCTTCACTTCTGATGGTGATGGACCAAAGAGCGCTGTTGAGGTGGAGAGAACAAAAGAAGATGGTATGTGATAAGTGAGAGTGAAAGATTAACACGACTTTTATAAATAAATTAATAAGAACTGCGGATAGCATCGAGGAAAGAAATGATCCTCCCAGGTAGGCTGTAATTTCAAGCAATTGCAGCAAAGAAGCTTGTTACTGATTCAAGCATCGATGGGATTTGAACCCACTTCCCCCAGATACTAGATGGGTGTTGCTACCAACTGAGCTGTAAAGTTACAGGTTAGGAGCGAGGTAATTTTTCAAAGGCTTCATTGTTTGGTAGTAACAACTAACAAGACCAGTAAGGCATTAAGTGCTACAGTTTTTTAATTGCAGCTCCATCACAAGCCCCGAGGAGCTTCAGTGCGACTGCAGTTACTTCTACAATTATCACAGCATCCTGGCAGTTACCACCAGCAGACTCCAGAAATGGAATAATTATAGGATTCAAATTGTTTTACAAAAAGAGAGGCTCTGCTGGACTAGCAACCACCTTGACCATGAACAATGGAACAGTATTAAGTAGAGATGTCGCTGGGCTTGATATTTACACCGAATATGAATTTGAAGTATTGGCCTTTACTTCAGTTGGTGATGGACCAAGGAGTTCTCCTGTAGTGGTGGTGAGAACCATGAAACGTGGTAAGAATTTTAAAAAGATGTTTAAATGTTAAATGATGTTTACTCATTATTGTTATTGTTTAATTTTACATTTGCAGTAACCAAAATGGCGTTTTGTGGTTTATAGTATTCGGGGTGTTGTAGGGTTAGTTATACATGTTTAGCCCACAGATTCTGTGCTGAAATGGTTTTAGGCATTGAGAAGTTAAAAAACTTTGCCTTTATACAAACTTTATGCCTCTTTTAAGATCTCATGCACTTGAAGGAAAATGGAAAGGAACGGAAAGTGACATTTTGAAAGCTGTGTATTTGGTTTGTGATGAGATCAAAAGTATATTCTCTCTGTATGGCCAATTAAGAATACTTATTTAAGTTCTGAGTTTAATGGCTGCTTTGCTTAAAATAATGGAAAACAAGTGCTAGGGATTTCTAGGGAATAACAATGTGTCGGAGGCAAGCCTTAGATGAAATAGGGCTCTTAGAGCGGTCAAATCCCTAGAAAACGGCCATGAGCCCTTACTCTAGGCCGATGTCTTTCTTAGCGGACCGTAAGACTACATGGAAGTCATGTAAGCCTAGGACAAAGCATGGCCCTGAACTTTTCATGGTACCCAGGAACCCTTGTTTGCAGACAAAAATTTGATGGCCGCCTATGCAAGCTTTAACAGAACCGCTAGAACGGTGACAGTAAACTCTTAAGACAAGAGCATGATTGTACTTGAAAACTGTTCGGGAATGTTTGGAGATGACAGCTACAACACTACAGAGGCTCAAGACAGCTTTTACAGAAGGTCTGACAAACAAAAGAAGATGAATCCCACAAAATTTTCCATGAATAGTCGAAGAAAAAAAATTAATTGATAGGGCCGAGGAAGGCGTGAAGAGAATCGCTGCAAAGCCACCAAAGAAAACTTGAAATCAATCATTGCAAAGCAACCTGGGACTGCCCACGAATGTTTGCAACTGGGCTGCTTGAGATCTAAAAGATACATTTCATTATTGTGACAAAGTTGCGATAACGATATTTCTATCATCGAAAGGGAAGTTCTACTCGTCCAATGTAAAAACTGATTAATAAAACTGACCCATCCATTCATTAATGGTATGTATTCAGATATCTCAGGAGCTTTTCCCTCCTAAATCATCATCCTGCTGTTGTTACTAGCTTTTTGGTCTTGGCGAAAGTTTTACTAACAGTTTTTAGCAAGCTTGTAATGCCATACTCAAGCGCACCACATGGTTGCATATGAATGGCTAATTTTTTTGTGGTTCTATTTTGCAAACTGTGTAAGTGCAGCCTTATTTCGTAGACATCGATACCAAAGGTGTTGTTCCTTCCAGGTGATACTATTTGTGTTTTGTTGTCTTGTTTTGTTTTATTTCCTTCATATGTTTTTCTTATTCAGATATTCGGAGACGTTAAGCACTCAGTGAGCACACTTGAACCTAATTTGATGTAACCTTTGATTTGTTTAACAATGAAAGGCTAAAATGCTGATTTGGTTGGTTGTATGTTTTGAAGTTGGCCATCAACTGAGGAGCTTTTTATGTTATTGTTTAGCTGAGAAGAGAGGCTGCAAAGCCAGCATGCTACTTTATGTCCTGAGCTTTGTTAAGGAATAAATAATCCATTTTTATCAAATCTCAGATAAACCTCACGTCAATGATCTTCCTGAAAGAACCATTACAGCAGTTGGCGAACTGGTGGTGTTGACTTGTGATGTTGGTGGTGACCTTGAGGCTTCTGTTACCTGGACCAAAGATGGACTTACCAGTATACCTCGCGCTCAGTTCAAGAACAGCGGCAAGATACTTATTATACAGGATGTTGTCCCTGGTGACAGTGGCGTTTATGAATGTAAAGCAATGAACTTGTTTGGAGAGAGCCGTACATCTACGGTACTAATTGTTGCTGGTACGTAGAAACTGATTTACAATTACATTAAAAATTACATAACAATTGCTTAATCATTTCTTCTGTGAGGTAGATTTGTGGAAGAGTAGGTGTATTATTTTTAACAATACGTCAGAAAATTTGCCAACCTTTACCAAAGTTAATGACCAAGTATGGTTATGCTGAGCACCACGATGATTACCATAGCAACTCGTATAAAACGTACTCCAGCCTCTTATTTACGGGTCATTCAATAGCTATTGGACTTGAATGTTAAAATAGCATTTTGAAAATTACCGGTAACAACAAGGCAAACGACTACTCAAAGTGCAAACCAAACGTACATCATGGTAGTGTCCCCATATGTTTGTTATACCCTTCCCCGTTTTGCATGAGCATGATTTTGTCAAAATTTCTTCTAGTCTCAATACAATTTTTACTCTTTCCACACAGTGCCACCCAGAATTATGGAAGAGCTTTCCCCTTCTGAAGTAATTTGTGAAAAGCAAACTCCGTGTTTTCTCTCATGTCAAGCATCAAGTTATATCCCGTTTAACTACTCTTGGACGAAAGATGGCCAGGTTCCAACTAGTGATAACATCAAGTTGATGAATAACAGTATCATCGTCACGCCACGGGATAGACAAGATTATGGGGAGTATGTGTGTCACGCTACAAACAGCCTTGGATCAACAGAGTATACAATTACTCTGCTTTCTCCTAAAGATGATCAAGATGATGAGGGTAAATATTCCTCCTAAATATTCGAACATTCTTAAATGTTTTCCTTTCAAAAATTTTGGAAAGCCCAGAACTATGAAGTCCAGTTAGGAGTTTTGGGGCTTCTAATTACAGTTATTTTGTATAATCATTTATGTATCAAAAGCAATATTTTTTGGTGGTTTCATGCGCCGACGTTGTTCTGTGTGAAGTTACATTTTCTTTCTTCATTTCTTCACATCATAGTGTGCAATGGAGGTAGATCATACCATATATCAAAATTGGCTTGTTAGGCTGTAACTAAAGAAAAAAAGAGCTATATATACCATTGTTGAGGGGGCTCAAGGCTAAAATATTTCTGTGTTTCTCCTGTTGTTGTCCTAATGGCTCAAAGTCTCTGAAGGACGAATTTTGAATGAAGAAAGAATAAGAAAATTATGGGATAGAATGAAGAACGACCTAAAGACGAGAACGTTTGTTAAAGTATTTAGGTTTCGGGGTTAAAAGAAACTTCGTATTCCTCAGCGTGAAATTACTTTAAAAAAAAACAACAACAACTAAACTATGTTTTCAGTGTTTGATGGTTGGTTCTAAAGTCGTTGGTTTTCCTTCGCAAGGTATACCACGAAACATCTTCCTTGCTAGTGTAATCGCACTGTCTTGTGCTGTGGTTGTGTTGCTCATCATAATTTGTGGGGTGATATGGCAGCGGAGACGAGCTGTTCCCAGTGAAAGGATACAGGGTAAAGAAAAGGTTGACTTTCACGGCGTCAAATCTTCACCTGATCGACAGTCGAATGATGAACAAGCTTCAGACCCAAATACGTATATGGAACTCAAAGCCAGGCTCCCGAACCATAAACAGTCTCATGTTCCAACTGAGTATCAGTCGCTACAGGAAGTACCCATGAACCCCGAATATTACAATATGGTGCTTCAGAAAGAAATTGGCGGGAAACAAAATGAAGAAGTGTATGAGGAAATATGATAATCCCCAAATAATTTCCTCAAGAACAGACATGACTACAATTGGTTTCTGGTCAAGGCAGTTTATCAGCCAATTTACAGCAGTGCGGCTGTAATAGCTTCCTCGGCTAGCAACGACTTTTATTTGGTCGATTCGAAATGAATTATATTAATCTTTCTCGTATTTTACGCATATCTGTATAATTATAGGGAATCCATGTTATCAAGTGAGATTTAATCTGCAATTGCATATCCCAGTGGCAGCATGAAAATTTCAATTCGAGTTAAAATGAGTTCTGAACCAGAATTAAAGTTAAAGTGTACTGAATTTACAAACTCGTTTAAGAGCCAGTAGATATAAAAAGAGAGAAAAATGTAAAAATGTAATGGAAGTTGTTCCTTATATTTTAACTTTTAAGGAAAATTACATTTTTTGAACCGTTTATTATGTTCTTATACATAGTAGATTCTTCTAAATCGTAAAACAAATCTGGTTTGTACTCTTCCTTTGAAGAAATTGAAAAAGGTTAGCTAACAGAATATTATTGTTAGATATTTGTAGATAGCTGATACACTCTAGTCTCTTGAAGATATTTCTAAGTCAGCCTATTTACAAATTGAAGAAAATGGGAGATGAACGTTGTTCGTGTCTCAGGATAGAGTCACTTAGAGTTGACGATAGAGTCGACGTTTGGAATAATAATGAGGATCGAAATGCACTGATAGCAGCGTGCTACAAATAGCGAAACGTAAACAATCGACCTCATCGCCTGATGAAGACGAGCAGTATTGCAGTCGAAACGTCGCGATCTACATCTCAAGTGACTCTATCGTGAGACAAACGAACAAAGTTCATCTCCTATCTTACACCACGATGAACAATAAGCACATATTTTATGAACCCTTTAACTCCCAGATCAAATTTGTAATTCTCCTTACTGTCAACGATACAATTCTTATAATGTTCATTCAGAGAATTTAGTATTGGATCAACTAATTATCCCTAAATTGATATTTTTCTTTATTCTCATCACTTATCTGGTTGATATTGTATTGATATTGTAAGGAGAAATTCTGCCTTGGTCACTCATGGGAGTTAAAGGGTTAAATTGAAAAATGTTTGGAAAGATTTTTCCAATGCAATAAAATATAAATATTATTAGATTCAACTGTATCTAAGCAACAGAGTGGTTGTAGATAATGGAATAAAAAGTTTTCACGAAAAGATATCTTTTTATAACATGCTCTGTAATTCCAACGTGTTGATTAGAAAAGACTCAGAACTTTCAGGTTTAGGAAGCTTTGGTTGCAAAGTATCCGTGTAGTGTACTTTTGAATTGTTTAACCCTTTCCACCCTAACATCAGTGTGCATATTCTCCATACTGCTCTCTATACATTTCCTAAAGTGCTGACGAGGAGAATTTGTTTAACAATCACGGGCTTCTTCAGCTGGTGGTCATTTTCTGCTAATTCTGCTAATTTCTGAGCAGATACTCATTTAGATTTTCCTTCTTGGATTGCGGTGTTGTTATTCTTTTCGTATTGGTAAACTCGCGTTGCTTAACTTAATGTTCATATTTTCTTTCGATCTTTATTTATCAGGATTACAGACAACGTAATGCGTACATTCTGACTCAAGCTTTATAAGATAACAGTATTATTTCGGTCCGTAAAATTGCAAAAGAAAAAAAGGAACTCGGCCAATATCCAATATTCAGCTTCGTTAATAACGCATATATCGACACATTGTAGCAAAAGAGTTATCTTTTTATTGAACCAAAAATGTTCGTGTACTTAAAACGAGCGCGCGATAACTAGTCGTTGTATTCTTCAAGTCACAGTAAACTCTCATGGGCAAATAGTAGGCACTAAATTGACCAATCAGAGCGCGCGCTTTACGTTGGTCATGTTACAAAACGTTCTTGGAAATCTAAAAAAACCCAGTGATTAAATTATTACTGCTATATCCATAGCATCATCAAGGGGTGAAATCCAAACTGATGAAAAAAACCGACACGCAAGCTTCCGTAACAACTATAAATACTTTAAAGAACTAAATGCATCATAATTTAGAAATTAACATAAACTAATTTAAAAATAAGATTTATATGCATTGACGATATTCCTACAAACCATACAAAGACGAGCTTGGTTTTGTGGCGAATGTGTAATTTTTTTGATTTGTCATGAATGGGTCCTATATTTCCGCACCCGTTAATTTACACGTATTCGTTTGGTTTTTCCACGTATCATCTCGACACAGCTATTTTCGCACTTTATGCAAATTGCGCAGCCCTCAACATCTCATGTTTCACGCCCATTTTGGCGGTGTGTCATATTTTGCGTCAGTATGTCATATTTTGCGTCATTCCTAAGAGTGTTTTGTGTCTTGTGCATTCCTTCAGCATTTGGTAAGGTTTTTGTCTCGTGGTATCTTCACATTTATTTTTCCCGTCTTATATGTTAGTGCTTTTTTGTCGTTTTTCTATTCCTTAGGAATTTACTTCTTCTTCACGTGCGAATTAAAGAGTAGTTAAATTGAATACTGAGTAAACGTGTTTGAGTGAAGAGGGCCCCTGACCCTTCACTTGAATAGCAAGAAAACAAAGACATCTTGCGTGACCGCATACCGTGACACAATCGAAACATGGCGCAGTTTAATCTCGAGCTTTGTTCCTGTGTAGTTGTTCTCGCTGTATTTCTTCCTCTGGCTTCAGGTGAGCACCATTTCATATCATATTAAATCTACTCGAAAGGTTTATTTTTATTTGAATACTACATTTAGCAGAAATGGTGGGATGTGTCTTTCAGTTTTGAGAGCTGGAGCTTAAGACTTCCGCGTACCATCGCAACTTAATCGCTAATGCAGTCAGCATTAAAACCAAAAAGATTAGAGTATTGTTTATTAATCTTGGGACAGATACCAAGCTCTCTTTAAAAACAATCCTTTCCAAGCATGTTTGGGAATGTGACCAAACAATTGAATAAATTTGGGTTGATTCGCTTCATTTACTAAATGCTAAGCACGTTCAAGCGACTTGTGAACATTTAGTTCAAACAGTCCCTGGGGGTAAAACGACGCCACGAACCTTTCTGTCGAAAAATTCATTCTCATCCATAAAAAACTTGCGTTTTGAAGCTAATAGAACAACCTGGTTGATAATCATGCTGAGGGTAAGTTTTTAAGTAATACTAATACAAGTCATTTAACTGAGATTTTGTCGTCGAACATATATATTTCGACCGTCGTCAACTAAACTTCTACGCATGCCTTAGACCTTGACTGATTCCATGTCTGCCTCAGAAACGTGTCTTTTCCAATCTTGCGGACAAAAATCAATACATTATGCTTACATTGGAGCTTAAGGAGAGCAAACATATAATTGAAATTATCTGCCTTTTCCAGTATTTCGTTCAGTTTCGCAATGGAACAATCATTATTCATTTCCGTTTCTCAAGCGAGGAAGGTACGCGATTTACACGCGCGCATGCCCATGCAGGCGAGGGAGGCCGTTTGCTTTTGCCCCCGCGAGTCACACTCATTTTTGCCTCTCGCCCAGTTTTCCTTGCAGTTAACGACATGCGACTGTAGCGATAAAATATCGAGCGTCGGACAGAAAGCGAATAGCTACCACTACATTGACTGACTAACTTCGCAACATACCTATTTACAATTACCGTACTTTTTCGAATAAGCGCCCGCTCTTTGATAAGCGTCCTCTCCCGAATTAGCGACCTCCTGTCTCATTTTCTTCAATTAATAGTAAGGATACAAGGAAATCCTGTTTCTATTGACACTTTATCTACAACATTTTAGGCTTCAACCACCGCCGAATTTGTACAGGAGAGTAGATTCTTTTCAGTTCCAGTTATGTTTACCTCCATGTGCTTGCAGAGTTCCTGTACAATTTTAATTAAGCACTCGTGCCTTTCGTTTAAGAAATACGGTACTTTGAAATACTTTCAATAGAGTTTGGGTTGAAAGTTGCAAAACAGTAATGAACTGCTGAAACCTCAAACTTATATACTTCAGCTGGAATAAAAATGTTTATAAAAATTCTAAAAATCCCATTGATTTAACTATCAAAGCCACATCCATAGCATCAAAGTGTGAAATTCAATCTGAAGGACAAACAAACACTTGCAAACCAACACACACTTATGTGACAACTATAAAAATACTGCAAAGAATGCATTATTTAGAAATAAGCATAAACTGATTGAAAGCTCCAGATTTACATGTATTAGCGATAATGCTACGAGCTTGAGTGGCGAGGAAACAGACATGTTTTGTCGCATGAGCTTTCTGTTACAAAAGGTCGGTCAAGCAAAACAATCGTTACCGCATACCTTGACGCGCTCAATCAAAACATAGCGCAGTTTAATTCCGAGCTTTATTTCCGTGTAGTTGTTCTCGCTCTATTTCTTCTTCTAGCTTCAGGTGAGCACCATATCATATCAAATCTACTTGAAAGGTTTATTGTAATTTTGAATGCTATATTTAGCAGAAATGGTGGGTATATCTTTTAGCTTTGAGAGCTTAAGCTTAAGACTTCTGGATACCATTACAACTTAATCGCCAATGCAGACAGCATCAATACCAAAAAGATAATAAAGCTCTCTCGGGTTTTGCTTTTCTTTTTCATGAAAATATTATCTTAAAACGAGTGGGATTGTTGACCCCTTCATGCTTTTTTGACTAGCTCACCTAGGAAGGAAAAAATTATTTACGAAAGGCAATTTAAACTTTACATCACTCAGCAAGTAGACAGAGAGTCCGAAACCATTATGTTTATTTTTTAAACTTTTTATCTATCTCAGGATTAAACACTCTCGGAAATTATGCTGCCTAGACTATGTACTCGGTGATTTTAGGTAGACAGTTTAATGTAACGATTTCAGTTTTCAAATATATAGTCTAATGTTTTTGCCGTTGTTTCTATCATCAAGGAACTGTAAGCATAATAAATTATGGATTATATCATGGAGTATGTGAATTCCAGCATAAATCAGTTGACTCAGCCGTTGCATTCCGACCAGCCTGTACATTTCTGACTTGCACCCCAGAAATTGTGCATTTACCCAAATAGTCAACTTTTCTTCCTCCAGGGAAGGGTTGAAAACCTTGTTTCCCTGTGTCAAGTTATTAAGTGAAATGAATAAACCTCTTCAAGCGGTTGGTATGTCTGTAGCTGAGATATTTTCTCCGAAAATGAATATTTGGCAAAGGAGCGAAGCTTGGAAGGTAAATGAGAAATTGTGAGTAGAAATCCTCAGCCAAGGACATTAGTAGCCGATATACCAGCAAGCCACATGGAGGTTTATTATTACATAATCCTTCCATTAATTGTTTTATTGGACGTTGAGCAGCATTTGAGATCGTCACTCTCACTGGAATTTACAAAATGAGTCGGTTTTTCTTCCATGCTTTGCGGCTCGGTAAATGGATGCACCATTAGCTACTGCCACCTCGGTGAATAGTTGTTAACTATCTTTGACATGGACCTTTCATTAGAGGTAACCAATAGAGAGAATCAAGGCTTCCACGTAGTTTTACATCCAACCTATTATCCATGTTACAATAATTATTATGAATATGTTGTTGTGCAAATGTAAATTTTGTTTCTATAGGAGCTTGTGTTGATTTAGACCTTGGAATGGGTAGTGGAACAATTTCAGATAGTAATATAACTGCTGGTTCTGAACAAAGTGCCAGCACACCAGCCAAGAATGGTCGCCTGAACTACACATCAGGATCATCATGGTGTGCAGGAACAAGTGACAAAAACCCATATCTACAGATTGATCTACAGATACTTCATATCATCTGTGCTGTGTCCACCCAAGGGAATTCTCAAGCAGATCAGTGGGTGAAAAATTACACACTGCAATTATCTTCAGATGGGACAATTTGGACAGACTACAAAGAAGGTGGCCAAATCAAGGTATATTGGAAATAGACTGTGAGGCTCGGCTGCGATAGTTAGTTATATGCTAATAAAACATTGATTGTAAAGTCTGACAATATAGAATATCTCACAGGTAAAATGATGAGTCTCGTCCTAACGATTTTTGATCTTAATGATATTTATACTATTTGTATTCTTATACCTGCTACGTTCTTAATTTGAAAAAAAACGTCGTTGATGACATGTAACTATTTGTTTGCTTCAAGTTTCTGAGAGGAAATGATGACAGGAACTCGGAAGTGAAGCATGTTGTTTATGGAGTGCTAACAAGATATCTGCGATTCCTGCCACGAACACACCAGGGTGGGGTGTGTATGAGAACAGAGGTATTTGGAGTGAAAAAAAATCCAAGTGAGTTTGAAACTTTAATGTATTTTTTCATGTCTGCCATTATCATGTTATCATCATTAATCTTTAGAAAAGTTTTTCAAATCATGTCAAAGGAATAGCTGATAGAAAAGGGCTGAGTTTGAATTTATTGTTTGGTACTCAAAACGTCATTATGAACTTTTCAAATCTAGGAATCTTTAATTTATAGATTAAGTGCATTTTTTGTGAAGTGAATAGCGCAAATTAATGGCTTTAAAGTATCGGGTAAAAATACCAACTAAGTTGAAGTGAGAGTTGGTCTACAGATCATGTACACGTTATTTGTATGATCACTTCAATTATTGAACATGATTTGTGTTATGAAACATGGAGCCTCATCGTGGTCTTACCTTATCTTTTATTATATAAAGGAACGAAAAAAATTCTGAAATCTACATGCCACACGCTTACGGGTTCCACGGCGCATGCATGGGACTGCAGACCTAATATGATTACAATTTGCATGGCACTATGAAGGCTGATTTTAAACTATTACTTTGCAGCTTGTGAAATGGAGGCCATTGGTTTGGCGTTTGGTGGTACAATTCCAGATAGCAGCTTCTCTGCCTCATCGCATTATGATCATAGGTATAAACCCTCTAATGGTCGACTGAATGGAAATAGCCGGGGTTGGGCACCCAAAACTGAGAACGATCCTGCTGACTACCTCCAAATTGACTTTCTGTATGAGTATGTTATCTGTGCTGTTGCTACTCAAGGAGCTCATGGTATCATGGAATGGACGAGAAAGTATAAGATTCTCTTATCAATGGATGGTACCAGCATGGTCACTTATCAAGAAAATAATGTTGACAGGGTAAGTTTACATAAAATTCATGTGTAAATACATGTACATATCGGAAAAGCCAAAAGTATGTAGGTCCTAGAACACTGATTCAATATTTTGAGTCAAGAGGAGGGAGACAAAAAAAGTGTCTACCTGGTCAAGACTCAGTCTTGCTGTTTAATAAAGTATGTAATCGATACCAAAGAAAATAAAAACTTTGTGTGAAAGTTTTTTCGAAAAGTCTTATTTTTCGGTGTTTGTCAAACCAGTGGTTCTTGTATTATAATCTCTCACAAACTACATGTACCTCTCCCTTAAGTTATTCACCAGAGATGATCTACAGGGTCACATTCTGATTTTGTGTTAGTTTGTAACAACAGAAAGAAGGTTTTTCAATAGCTATTAGAGACATGTAAATAGCTGATAATTATTAGCGGTCAATGAAGCAGCAGTATTCTGAGCATTTTGACGCAATGATTTCACAATTTGTACCACAAACTATAGGTCTTTCCCGGAAACTCCAATCAAAATGGCATCGTAAAAAACAGTCTACAGGAATTTGCAGGTGCAAAGTTTATCTTCTTTCAGCCAACAACATACAACACGTGGAAGGCTCTTAGAGTGGAAGTTTATGGAATACTTCTAACAAAAGGTATTTATTATTTGCTCTTGTTTTTATCTCCCTCGAGACAAAAATGAAGTCGCATTAACAAACTATTTTAGGAAGGCAAGGTTAGGTAATTATGCAGAGCTAGCTAACGGCGAAATTACAAATTATCCAATATTGAGATAGCCTTGCAATTGGTCAGGTGAGAATCTTTTTAAACAACTTTAGAGCTGACCATAAGAGTCATTCAGGTTTTCCTTACGCTAAATCGAAAAAGTTTTCTTAGATTATTAGTCGTACTTGATATGATAGTGTCTGGTGTGATTGTAGCACTGTGCATAGTAAATTCTGGAGTTTTCTTTGTTTTGACCGTCTTCTACAGCTGTCGTCTGTCTCTAAAGTTAACATTGTCCAAAAATTACAAACTGTGTGTCCGCTCCAAGCAGTTTTCTTCCTTGCATGCGATCAAAGCGGGCAATCCTGAGCAGGAAAGATGGGCCCATCTTGCCGGCTCGGGTATAGCCAACCCGAACACAGGATTCGCTTCATTTTGCCCACGCGCGCTGTCAGCGTTGTAATAAATATATCTTATTAGCCGTTTTGGTGTGTAGTACCGCTGAGTATTTTAACGAGTTATGCCGTACTTTGACTAGCCCGTATGAATTCGGCTGTCGTTCATTCATAAAACACACGCCTCGAGCAGCTTATTTTCTATGTTTTTTTATTTTCTACGTGTTTTTATAGCTACAATTCGGGGGGGTTTGACTGAAGAAGTGGGGATAAACACTCGACTTCGTTTCGTGTTTTCTCCCTACACTTCTTTCGTGCAGTAACCGCTTCCTGCGTGCTTTACAACAGAACAGAGCCCAGTCAAGGCTTCTCTATTTGTTAGGTTAATCGATCGTAGATTGTAGATTCTGGAACCTAGCAGGTTGCCATTACATTATAATCGTTTGTCACCTATTTTGCAGAGCACATCTCCACGTTTAGGATATAAATAATTATGCACATGCTTAATTATGCATTGTGCATATAAACAATCCCCACTCGTGATGATCATCCACTCTGCCCTTGGGAATATCTTATGCTTTCTAAGCTCACAAGGATGATTGATTTATATTCACATCAATAATAAGATAAGAATTAAAACACACAATTCGTGTTGTTCAGTTCCATCACAACCTCCCACTGCCTTCAAGTTGACCGCAAGCTCTTCGACCAGCATTATAGCTTCCTGGCAGTTACCACCAGTTCCTGCCAGACATGGAAGGACTATTACAGGATTTAAACTGTTCTACAAAAAGGAAGGTTTTGGTGGGTCAGAAACAAATTTGACTATGAACGGTGGATCAATGTTAAATATAAGTGTCACTGGGCTTGATAAGTTCACAGAATATGAATTCCAAGTGCTGGCCTATACTTCTGATGGTGATGGACCAAAGAGCCCTGTTGTGGTGAAGAGAACAAAGGAAGATGGTAAGTGATAGATGAAGGTGAAAAAAATAAAATGATCATAATTGTTCGTGGAAGAAATTTTTACTGAACTTGCGGATGAAATCAAACAAAGAAATGTTCCTCACAAATGCCGAAAAGAAGCCTGAAAAAATTCAGGCTTTGACAGGACTCAAACCCGTACCTCTCGCAGCTGACCTTTGAAGGGATCGGGGAGGTGACCGCTGAACAGAGGTGAAAATAAGAATACGAAAGGGAAATAAATTGGGGACTTTGACAACTGACCGTTTAATACAGGATGACCAGATACAGAAGATATCTCGCTCGCCGTGGAGTCTGTGGCCTAGTGGTAGAGAATCCGAAGTTCTGAGGCTCGATTCCTCATGGGGACTCAGAATTTTTTATTTTTCCTATGCTCGTGATAAGAAAAAAAACATCTTTCTCTATACTACAACGTGCTTTGGATTAATTGTTATTCATTACACATACCTCGGATGATTTTCTTTTCATTTCTTTTATTAATAATTACATTATCTCTATTCTGCCAGCTCCTAGTGTACCTTTATCTTTATCTTCTGTTGACGTGTCACCCACCAATTCGCATGGTCCAAGACTAACCTTGACCTGGAGTGAGCCTGCAGAACCAAATGGGGTTATCAGAAGTTACACTTTGTTTTATAGTCGCAATGGAGTTGCACCAAAAGAGATTTCTCGAATAGACAAAGATGCATCAAATTACACAGTTGATGTGTTTGGTGGAATGACTTATCAGTTTAATGTCACAGCTGTGACTATTAAACCTGGACCATATGAGACGATAACTGTAACTACCAGGACATATGGTAAACTTAACTTTCATATTTTTGAAGTGACCATAACTTAGTTACGTCATGCAATTCTGTCTAACTTAAGCGAATCATCTATATCTACCGTCATTTAAATCAATTTAACTCTTGAAGAGATGAGTTTCGTTAATTCATTTAGTTAGTCTAAGTGCAGTGTCATGAATCGCCATCTGAACTTGTAATCATACATCTGTATTATCTCATTTAATAGGAACCCTTTTGTTGAGATACAAAGTGTCTATCTTTCTCACCAGCTCCTAAAGCTCCGGTTCCACATAATGTGAGTGATGTTGAGGTTTCTGAGACAGCTGTTGATATTTTTCTGTGGCCAGTTGAACAAATAAATGGTCCAATAAGGTAATTATCAATAAGAATGTGATTTGCAGAATAACCTAAGGTTGACCAGGTCCTTTCTAATGATAAGGTGAGATTGCCAGCCGCTCCTCGAGAAATGAGATAACGGTATGTTGTTGAAAGCAGGATAAATTCTAGCAAGAGGATTTAAGTCATTGATGCTACGATCAAAATGTGATTAGAGACTATATACAAATTGCCTTCATGACTCGGGCAAATTTTTTTCAATCTTTCAGTGCTTATCAAGTTATTGTTCTGAAAGTTGTCAATGGTGTTGAAGAGCTTCCGGAAAATTATGATTCACAACTGAAAGCTGCCAGTGATGCAAAGAACGATGACGTGAACTTTTACATTGCTGCTGAGATAGGAAATGTCCCAGCGCTCAAAGGACCTTGGAAATTTACTGTTGGCGACGGTGAAAAAACTGGAAACTATTTGAATAAAGAACTTGAAAAAGGACAAAACTACATTGTGTATGAGAGAGCTCTAACTAAAACCACGAAGGTATGTAAACTATAACCTACGTCCCTCCATTACTCGTAGAACTGGGTTTAATGACCTTTTTGCAATCGATTTTAAAGAGTAGTTTGCTAGACAGTGGTCTAGTCTTTATTGCGGAGAAGATTGTTCGCACCACATTGTATGAGTTAACACAAAAACTAGGAGGAGGTCTAGTCTAAGCCCATACTTTTCAGCCGTTTTATTCTCACTTCAGTCTCCTCATTGTTTTTAAAGCACGGGCATTTTTTGAAATGTGTGGTTTGTTTTTTGTATATTCTACAGGAAGTACTAAGAGGAGAAGTAGGGAGCGTTGCCAAAATTTCTATCACCCCGGCCATTACGGGTTTGTCCATATTACATTTAACTAACCAACAAGTTACAGTTTATACGATTGTAGATTTACTTTTGTAATTCAAGGGGCTTTTCAAGAGCAGTAACTCACTTGCGAGAGTGCTGGCTCCAAGAGGCTTATATGTTAGCTTGTATTAATTACAACTGGTCGAAAATCCTCTTTTTAAATATATTTTATTGAACTAGTTTACTTCTTTTCAGTATACAGAGCCTGGTGTCTACATTTTCGTTTAGATAGTCTAGATCTACAAGCTAGTCTAAATCCATATCATCAACTATGAGCATTCAAAGTTTATGCCAGAATTTGGCTCGCTCGGCCTGGTGCCGAGCTAAATTTGAGGACAGTAGCGAGCTGCTAACAAAACGAAAGTGAATTTGAGGGAAACAATTGATAAATTGCCAAAAATGCGCAAATAAACCTAAACAGAACAACGATGGTTAAGAAAGGAGAAGATTAACGCGGATTGGAAATAAAGAAGTTCCAAATTGTCGGTTAAATGTACTTTCCTCGAACCAGCATTTAAAACTTAAGACTTTTTCTTAGCATGAGTCAGTAACGCAGTTGGTAGTACGAGTCCGCAATCCAAGCCGACGCCATTTTGGTCATTGCCGGTTGTGCGTGTATTTTCTTGTGATGTCACTCGAACAAAACGATTTTCGGCCATGGTCGACTTAAAACTATTTTCTTAAAAACCATTTTTGATTTTTTTATTACCAAATGTCTACCCTGAAATGCTAATTACGCTCTTCTTTCGTGGAAGGTGGAAGAGAGGAAAAGTCCAGCGGTTTTAATGTCGTTGCTGTTGCTGTACCTGCAGTTCTGTTGCTACTCCTTATTCTAGCAGTTGTAGTTGCTGTCCTCTTATACCGGAGGTTTGTTTATTTTAAGACTGAATACTAATGACTGAGCGTAGAAAAAGGTATTGCAACCGAAAATTACACATCTTATCTTTTTTTTTTAGGAGAAGGGAGACAAGATCCCAAAGTGCCAGTGAAAGACCTGTCCAATTTGATGACCTTCAAAACGGTTATGAAAACCTTGGCGCGAGTACATCAAGTTTGGTTTATCAGAATGTAGGAGACAGTCGTCTGTCAATTAAAGGTATGTTAAAACATGGTTGATTGCCTATAGGGATTATCAAGATACTGAAAAGTTCCATATATGCGATTTCTTTACCCTAAAGGTATTGAACAACAGCCTGACGGTGGAGAGGAAGAGGCTACCTACAGTGAGGCTGACGATGGTAAGCCCAAACCAATTCCTGTGGCTAATTTTGAAAAATACTTCAAGAGAGGTTCTGAAAACGGTGCTATTGTACTGCGAGAGGAATATAAGGTAAGACGTTGGTTTTTCTGTGTGTTATTGTACGAGAGAACACTTGCAAATATTTCTCGATTTTTTTTTGTGTTGTTCCTTTTCGCAATAGGTGACTTGGTATTTGTGGTGGATTTTGTTGTAAGGGTCTCAAAAAGTGATCACATCGAATCGTTTTTGATAAAAGCACATGTTTTGCAACTTAGTTTATACCTTTCTTAGAATTTACAGGGCGATATGCTGTTTCCTTGTGAGATTGGCCAGAGTAACAGAGGCAAGAACCGTTATGGAAACATCGTTTCATGTGAGTACATGTAAAGATTTTTTTGTTGTTTCTATCCAAAGGTAACCAGGTAAAAAAGCTTTAAGTTATATTAAATTAAAATCAGTTTCTAGTGACTAGACCGTAACTAGCGCTGCCTCTGCAGTTAGTCTCTTTTAAGGCAATAATTATAAATTCCATAGCTCTCTGAATATAAAACTGTGTCAGTATCTCCAATCATTTCAAAGTTGGTGAGGTGGGAAGTGGTAAAGTGGTTGAGTTTGAGTCAGAATTTCGCACCATACACTATGTTCAAAATTTATACGTATTTCACGCCATAAAAAAAAACTATTAAAAAAAACAACAAAAAAACTAGTTCCTAAATCACCGATTGTGTTAATTAACAGATGATCATTCTCGTGTTGTTTTGGAGGAAATAGAGGGTGATAAAAATTCCAGCTACATCAATGCAAGCTACATTCCGGTCAGTAACACGAAATACATATGCATATGACGACAAAACAACGACGGAGACAGGACGACACAATACGACTCGACACAAAACGAAACGGTACGACACGACAATACAAAGCAATACAACGGCGCGTCGACACTGCTTGTTTGATGATATATATAAATGAAGAGATAACAGATTAAACAGAGATACAAATAAAACTCATTTTACCGTTCGGGCATCTTGAAAAAAAATCAGCATGCATATTTTCTGTTCTCTATCTGCAGTCTTGCATTACTCTTATGGGGTCATCTTTCATCCGTTATTGTTTAACTTCGACAGCAAATCTCATAACTTACATAATAAACGGCTGAGAAAGGCATGGAAAAGACATTATATCAATATTTTGAATACTTATAATTAATTTCAGTTAACTTTTACGGTATAACCTAACCGACAGAAAAACACTACAATCCTACAAACTCAACTACCTTATTAAACAACGAGTGATATTCTTAATAAGGGGCGACTCCTAAAGGCAGTACAATAATTATGCTCAATGAACTTACTTAAGCCCCTTACAGTCTATATCTTAGCTCGCCGAACTCACAGTTTCCTCTAACTTTTCTTGAAATTAGCAATCTTCCACTTTAGCTCTCTCTCACGGTATAGCTTTCTAAACAGTCGGTGTCTCCTGACAACAACAACTACTACTACTACTACTGCATAACTGAGTCCTTCTATACATTTACACAGTGTTCCGGAACATTTCAGAAGCTTATAAAAGTACTATTTTAATAGTGTTACGTAATAACTGCGTGACTTGATGAAATGTTTTAGAAAGTTCTATGGTACACATGTCAGCATGAGTAAGCAGTCTGGAGAATTCAAGATGCTTATATTTACAACAACAATTACTCATATCATATTATTATCATATTATTACTCATAACATCAAGTTTTCTACTGTCTCTCCTTAGACCTACGACGAGGTCACCATGACTTATATCGCCACACAAGGTACAATTATCTGGAGGAGTCTCATAGAATCACACGTTAACACATGTCATTGTCTAACTGCTGTAGTGAACTCTGCTGCAATATAGAGTTAGAGAACTACAAAACGTCTCGCATAATAATTACTGTTGGTTTTATCTGGGTCTCCTTCAGTATATTTAACCGTGTACCCTCTGCAAATGGGACACCTCTGGAACTAACAAAAGCGTCCTTGAGTAAAAGTTCCTTCGATTAACGTAAAAGGTGCAAAGGTTATAGAAATTTCTTGCTTAGTTCGAACGATAGTTTCTGCATTATTAGGGGGCGAAGATTATAGCTCGTTGTTACGGGGTTCAGTCCCTTTATAGGGGTTTTCTGTGGCCTTTCTCTGGCCATTTTGGTTGTGCTAGCGTTCCTTTGTTACTCTGTTGGCAAAACCTCTCAGGAAAAAAAGAACATTTATAAATGTATTCAAGAAAGTTCCCACTGTCCCGAAAGAAAGACTTGTCCCATTGTTGTGTCAATGTTGTTAAATAGCTCATGGCTTTGTTAAATCACCACACGCTTCGCCATTCTTTAACAATATTCTGACTACTTGTAATTGGGTTATTAGGTCCAACTTCTACAACTGTCGATGATTTCTGGCGACTGGTCTGGCAGGAAAACTGTTCCACCGTTGTGATGCTTACAAACCTGGTTGAGGGGGGAAAGGTAGACGTAGATCAGTTTTCAGTTTAACCTTCAACTTTATCCGGAGTTTCATTTATTTTGCATTTCCTTCGCTTCGTGAGTGGTCTGTAAAACTCGCACCATAACCTTAAATATCGATCACATTCAAAACCAAGATCAGAATAACGTCATGGGTTGCTACATATAGGCTCACATGCATTTTTTGTTGTTGTTGTCTTAACTGTAGGGTAAATGCGATCAGTATTGGCCGGATCACACTTCCAAATATGGTGCTTTCACAGTTACTCTTCAAAAGACTGAAACTTTCGCCGATTACGTCATCAGGTCATTGATTGTGACGAAGGTGGGGTGTCTTAATAAAATTGCTGTTTTTTATATTTAGTACTTCCTTAAAGAATATGGCCTTAAGTGCTAAACAAAAAGTCCTAATCGTTTTAAGTATATACCTTTTGGGTGTGTTACATACCTAAAGAGTACATGGTAACAGTGCGCAAATTGCGATGCATCCGATCAAAGAAGCTGCAACCCACCGGCAGGGTGTATTTGTATTTGTACCAGTGGCGGATCTCAGTGGAGGGTACGGGGGATTTGGACGTCCCCCCTACCACCCTTCCATCAGACTTTTTTACCACTTGACTCAAACCAATATTTTTCCAACTGCGGAGTGAAATTAGAGTACTAAAAATTAAATCTTTAAATATCTTTTAGTTCATTAAGGCTGCAGAGTAAAAAACAAAACAAAATATGTGATGAAAACAGAAATGTGTCTTTTGAATCAAAGTTTGGGCCCCTATGGATCTGTTTAGGCATGATCTCTGTTCCAACTAAAATTACGTAATGGAATTAATCTTTCATTGAAAAATACTCGAAAATAATGACGTATTTTGGGCTCCCTCTATGACAAAATCTTCAACCAAGGCGTGAATTTCCCCTTAGGATTCAGAAAAAAGGAACGTGCACCAGTTTCATTACGTCACTTGGCCAGACAAAGGCGTCCCACAACATTCCACAGCTCTACTTGGATTTAGACAAAAGATTCATGCCAGACACCAGGCTACTGGTGGACCACTTCTTGTGCACTGCAGGTAAAGAGCACAGAAAAATTTCAAGACTTAAAGTTAACGGCTTCATATTTACAAACAATTCTTATTTGGGTTAAGGTTCTTCTGCAGATTTTCTAATTAAAACTTTTCTTTTCTACGGATAACGATAAAAATTTTTCTTAATATACCTCCATGTGTGTAAATTACCAAGGCCCTCCATCAACCAATCCCTTACCCTCGAGAGTCGCCCAATCGTGCTTAAAATAACTAACAATTCTAACAGGGCTTTTCAGTTGGTTGTCGTAAAACCAAAACCAAAGCAATCTAATGCGACGGAAGCTCGACATCATGAGGAACAAATGAGGACTCAAAGTAAATACAAGGAAACTACTCAAAGTGCAAGTCACCTAGTCGTGTTTGATCAGTGCGAGTTTCCATACTTAAAAAGGGGGTTGATTGTTTTCCTTCGCCTCTTCCCTTCATATTTTTTAACAATAAGAATTGTTAATTATCTCTATTGTTACCCTGGTACAGTGCTGGCGTTGGTCGAACTGGCGCATACATTGCTATCGACGCTATGTTGGAGAGTGCTGAGAAGATTAAAACTGTGTTCATACAGAATTACGTGCAAGTAATGCGTAGATCTCGTCCTTACATGGTGCAGAAAGCTGTAAGCAATTTCAACCGCTTTCCATAAGAATAACAGCAGCATAAGTCCTTTTTATTCTGAGCTTAGTTATTTCACGGTTCGTCGTGCTCCACGGTTATCGTGAGGACCGTCGTAAGCCAGTTATGATTTCGATAAAACGCCTAAATGATTTCAGAGTCCACCTTCTTGAAACCACCATCTTCAAATTTAGAAAATCTAATCGTTCTTGATATGACTTTATCCGAATTGATATATAAATATATATATCAAATAGATATATAGATTGATGTATATATATAGACATATATCAAAAGCCGTTTGTCTCATCACTACTCTGTCTCTGCATAGAAGCAGTGCGTTTTCTTGCTCCAAAAACTGTTCGTTCAGTCCAACAGTATTGGTATTGACTTTACCTCTGTATAGGAACAGTATGTTTTCCTGCATCAAGCAGTGATGGAGGCCTTGGTATGTGGAAATACAGAGATTATCCCTCAGGACCTACGAATTGTGATGAACAAGCTTTCCATGGCGCATAAACCATCCAAAAAGACTGGATATGAGCGAGAGTTTAAGGTAACTAGCAACTATTTCTAATAAATACATTTCGCTTTGTTGCGAAATTAGACTTAAATACCAATAAGACAGCTTATTACTTGATCCTGAGGATTCTTTTAAAGACTTCTCTGTTTGATATTGTTAACATCACATTCATGTCTTATCTACACTTTTCAAGACAGCTAATCTCCACAAACTAACGATTGTGTCTCGCTCACAAGTGAGCATTGACTCAATTATCAAATCACAAAAAACTGCTCTAGCTTGAAAAAGAAGGCAATAACTCAGTTCGGTAAGAAACAAAAACGGCAGAGGAACTAACATGAAAGCAGGACGGCCAAAAGTTGGCTTAAGATAAAGAAGATGAAAAGGGTTTTCAAAGGACAAACTGAAAGATACAAAAATAATCACTTACATCTTTTGATACTTTTGTCGTAGCGCTTGGAACTTGTAACAAACGCCCAGGCTTCTCAAGAGGAAGCAAAGGAAGCATTTCTGCCTGAAAACGCTGTCAAGAACAGATTCCCCAACACTGTTCCGCGTAAGTGTTACCTTGCCTTACTTTGCAGTCTTTCAAGAATGTCAAACAAGATTTCTGCTCACTCCTGTGTTATTTCCTAATGGAGCCCTAAACCAAGTGAGGTCTCATTCGGTCTGAAACCTTACGAGTGGTCAACGACATAGAAAGACCCCAATCAATGTAAAATTTGTTAGTCACGAGTGGATTACCGATTGGACGACACAAAGTTTTGTTACCTAACGATCAAAGTTTTCACAAATTTTGGGAACAAATTAGCCATTGATCGATCATAGTCAAGGCAAAAAGATTTCAGTTTACTTATATACACGAGAAAATAAACCCATAGTCTAGATAATAATGCGCGAAAATGCAAATACTTTTCAATAAAGCAGGCTTTCACACAATTCAGACGTCAATCATCAATCATTCTCCATAATTTTGTTAGTTTTGATAAAGAAAGGTCATAGCCTACAAGGTATTATGAAGTCGTACTGCGATGACCCAAACAAATAAAATGTTATAGGTTCGAGTCATGGCTAAAGTCACTGTGTTGTGTTTTAGGACAACTTGGGTAAACTTCACACGAAGGGAACCCAAATTGGCGTGAAATCAAGGTTTCTAAGACAGCGTAGGACTTGGAATAAAGAAATATCTCCAGGTTAACTAAAATGCGTAAAGTTCGACAATTGGTTCCCTAAAATTCCATACCAAATTTCAGGTGGCGCCACACATCGAATAATGTTTCCAAACGATAGATCTAAGAGAATCTTTATAACTATTGTTTGGTATGTTTTTTGTCTGCAAAAACGCCTTTATGTCGATTTTACACTAGTGGACAATGCTCGAGTGCACTTACAAGCTTCCTCACAAGAAGAGAGTTACATCAATGCCTCATATGTGGATGTAAGTGCAAAAATGCCTTCTTATAAGATTTTTTTGGTAATATATATTCTGTTTATTTATTAATTGAACACAAAAAATCGCAAGTACGAAATTTAAAAATAGTCAATCAATAATACAGAAGAATAGCAATATTACATAAATTCACAAATCAAAAAAATTTTAAAAAAATGTTTAATCAATGTAGGGACGAAACCTAATAAAGGCTAGGAGCTCATAAAATAAGTATTCCCAGCATGTTGATTTGAAGAAAAAACTCAGTAGTTTCAAGTTCTCTAGAAAGCTTTCTGGTGCAACGTGTCCATATGTTTTGAATTTGTTCAATCTATAAGTATGTATTATTTTCCAGTATTTTCTTTTTGGGTAAAGAGGTACTGTTATTCTTTTCGTATTGGTATACTCGTGTTGCTTAACTTGACGTCCACGTTTTCTTTTGAACTTTTACTTTTCAGGACTATAGAGAACGGAATGCATACATCCTGACTCAAGCGCCATTAGAAAACACCATTAAAGACTTCTGGCTGATGATTTCTTTGTATAATATTGGCACAGTTGTAATGTTGAGTAACTTGAAAGAAGGAAGGCAGGTACGAATCGTGACATGTTTCTGAAAAGCACTAAACAACACTCTTTGCTACGTATTTTCAACCAAGAAATGTACAGAACCTGCCTAAACTATGATGTTAAAGCTCTAATGATTTATATCAAAACAGCCACTGATATGGGCAACTGATGGAAATCTCTGGCAAACTTTGATAGATTGCCACTATACGTTAAAAGGTGGCAAAAATAATGGGACAAAAGCATCAATTAACGCAGTGAAACTAATATGCTCTCAAAAATTATCGGCAAAGTGTAACTTTCCCGCTGAGACTCTTTGACTAAACCGCTGTCACTTGTAAATACGATACTCGTCTGCGTTACTGGCTGGCGAAATGAAAACTTCCAAATGTTTAGAGCACATGTCACTCTAGTTCGGATATCTTCTCAACACCTTTAAACTGAAGAAGCTTTATCGTCGAGGGAAAGTAACATTTTACAACGATTGACCACGGAAAAGTTGGAACTCTTTACTGGAAAATCCTTGCAACCCCTTTTTTTAGACCACGATATTAATTATGTATAATTATATCACGGATCAAACATGTAGCACTGTTTTTCTTTTTGTAGAGTTACCCAAAATACTGGCCAAGTGAGGGATCCGCCAGGTATGGTGTAGTCACTGTTCAGCTTTTGTCCCAAGAAACCTCGAACAATATAACTACCAGACGATTTACCTTAGAGAATGCAGCGGTACGGTTTGTTTGTACAAGTATTTTAAAGTTTTCTGTTCTTTAGGTAGTTTGGAGCGAACTTCTTCCCATACCAATGGTTGCGGTTTGCTTGTACTAGTATTCGAAGGTTCCCTGTGTTATGGGTAGTTTCGATGAAACTATAATCAATACCAACAGAAAGTGTTTATATATTTTCAACGCGTGTGATTTATGTTAATGAAAGGTGGATGGTTTGACCTTAACTCTTTCAATATCAGGAGAGACCACTCTGTAAATTCTCCTGACATTATCGATACAGTGTCTAAAGGATATTATTTGATTTAACACTAGAATTTCCGCTGAACTTATGCATTATTATGGAATCGAGTTTGTTTGCTCGCTTTTCAATATTCAATGTTTCACTCCACATAAACAAGCTAATCCTACGTTTAAAGTTGATTTTTTAATAGGCATCTGTTTTGAAGAATAGTGTGAATTTCTTCCTATTTTAATTTGTTTTTCAGTCTCATGACAGGAAGTCAACTATACAGCATATACAGTACACCGGTTGGGCCGATGGAAACTCGTGCCCAGATCCCAAGGAGATACTTGAACTAATGAATGCTGTACAACAGTCTCAGCAGCAATCAGGAAATGGAGTCATTGTTTTTCAGTGCAGGTAAAGAGCGCTCTTTAAGTAAAGAGTTCTCTAGATGTTATCATATGTTTGAATGGATTACTACACATAGCCCTAAAACGTTAAAAGTTATGGTTATTGATACAGAGCTTAAGCAGCGATCTTTTTGAGACACCGCTTTAGCAATTTAAACCAAACCGCGCCAACGAAATATATTGTTTGAACACCAAAAATGATAATTTTAACTTCTGGTTGCCGTCTGCTTCCCAAAAACATCTGTGCTTAAGCTCCCTAATGTTTTACTCGGCACATACGTCATGCCCGAATTGCTCATAGTCAGTTTGTTCGACATTATACTAATAAATGACCAAATATTTATTTTTTCTACAGAATGGTAGAAGGTTTAAATGGTTAATGTAGATGACCTTATCTAGCGTAGACAGTGTAATTGGTTGAACATGTCTGAAAAAAGTAGACACTTGACTCGCTAAATTAAAGGCTAACAAGAATCAAGGCAAGAAACTGCAACACGAATAGACAATCGTGTTCTTTTCATTTTTTCTTAATAGTTACCCGTTTTATCTTTCTATAGTGATGGTATTGGCCGCAGTGGCTGTGTAGCTACCATAATTTCAGTGATCGAACGAGTCAAGATTGAACAAAAAGTTGATGTTTTCCAGACTGTAAAACTAGTTCGAGCAAAGAGACCAGGTGCTGTCAACACCCTTGTAAGTTGAAAAATGTCATAATCCATTGTTATAACTTTACTCATGTCTAGATTGCCAGAGGAAAAACAGGGGAACTCCACTCCGGCGTTTTAATACCGGAAGTAGGGGCCCTCCAAGGTACGCCTGACTTTATCAAAACACGGAACTTTGCTTCGAAGAATTAGAATTGAATTTCTTTGCTGTTCAGTCATTTCTTTTGGGTTCTGAGAAAATAACATGGTCACTTTGCTGAGCGCTCACAGATCAATAGCGTTATTTTTCGTGATCCTAAGGAGTGTTTTTATGTTTTCATCTTTTAGGAGCAGTACATGTTTTGTTACAAAACAGTTCTGGCTTACTTAGACTCTTTCAGCACCTACTCAAACTTTGCGGAATGTTAAAAAGCATTGCAAAGTATAAAACAGATTTGATAGAAAGAAGTGATGCACATCATGGGTGTTTTTACGAAGCTGTTCTCTGCATGTTTTTTTTTCCTCGTATTCAAATCTTTTGTTACAAATTATGTATGCCTCTACGAGGAAGGCCTTTCCCTATAATATTAATGAAGGTTTTCCTTAATTATTTTTGTAAAAAGAGTAGTCCAGGTAAACGTACAGGTATCTGAAGAGGTTCACTGTTTGATAGCTGATAGATTTACATCAGATTTTGCTATAGTAACTTGGGACACAGACATGTGTCTCTACGGGGCTTAGGACAACGGCAATTATCGTACTTTTTAAGTTATTCCATTAAGATAAAGAGAGATAGGTATATGTAAAATAATTCAAAATACAAAGGTATCCCATTAAGGAAAAGAGGAATGTATGTAAATGGTTCAAAAGACAAAGTATTCATAAAGTTTAATTTATTACGTTTCATCGAGTTTTGTGTTTTCTTATAGGTTAATGGTAAAGGAGAACCTTTTATAACTTAGATATATCATAGTATATATTCCTCTTAAATGTTTCATTAAAGCTTTAGAGGTGTCTTTACGTTTCAAAAGCGTTGAATCAAAAATGGAAGTTTGTCATTTTAATTTTATAGTTTGGTTTAATGGGACAGTTTGCCCTTTTTTTGCATTTAATTCCCTTACCTGGAGTTAATTTTTCATAATGTTAAATTCATAAATTATACGAGATGGTCACATAACTTTAAAAAAATAGTATTTTTTTTCTCAGAAATCAGAAATAATTTTGTATAGAGTTAGATTTTTAGTAATAAAATTATAAACTAATTTTGATAACGATAAATGAAAGATTCAAAGGTGTAAAGCGCATTAAGTGGTCTGATATTCAGCCGTTGTATATTTTACTAAGGTAAAGGATAGAATTTATATAGAGTTGAGGATATACATTAATACATTCAATGACTGATTGATTGATTGATTGACTGAAATGTGTTTATATATTCACCCATCTTATAGTTAACATTTCTATCTACATTGTGTGAATTTTGGAGTGATCGACCAGCAGTTTCTTATTTAATATTCCTCTTAAGAGTTTGAACTGATCTCGTTTATTTTCATTGCGTTCGACTGTTAGTTTATGAAGATGTAGTCAAAGAGAACCTTCACCGATGAAACTATCTGACGTTAAAGCAAAAGAAAATAAACTGACTAAACCCAATTCCTTGGTAAATTCCACTACAGTTATTTATAGAAAATCTCTCCGAAGGAAGTCTCTTATCTGAGACATCCGCATGAAAGATCAATTCGATCTGTATTCTGAATGAATATAATAACGAACAGCGAAAAGAGAAGTTTTGTCGATGAAAACGACTTAGCACTCTATACGCTAACATTTCAAGTTTTTGCTCGATAATTCATAGTACAGACGTCTGGGGAAACAGAATTCCATTTTCGTTGAAAACCTTGCGGAATCGCATCTATCTTCATACAGATGAGGAACGTCGTTTGAACTTAAGCTTGGCCTAATGAGGCAGTAATTTTGAAGAAAGTGACATGTGGATGGTTGAAATTTTGAAAAGGTGATAAGGAAAGGAAATGGAAAAAAAAGGCACGAAAATGTGTCACGAGAAGAAGGAGCTCTGAGCCAGAAAACGTGAATAAAGGTGCGGACTTATCCACCCGCGCCCACGCAACATCTGCATCCTTGCAGTGCGATCGCTATCTTGACTTCAAACATGAGCGCGCGGTCTTTTTTCAAGTTCTCAGTGAGTAAATGAAAAACCACAATAATGACACATATAAAAGCATTGGCCAATATAACCAGCCCTTTTTTTATATTGTTACACATTTTCTGTGGCTGTTATGTCCAGGCAAAGTTCTTGTGATTTATAGCCTTTAAGTGACGTCGCGTTAACATTTCAAAGATAATAATGTTCAAACGCTCTTCTCAGTCAGGGTTGTAAATATAATTTATTGCTTATTTATCGTACCAAGCTACTTTTTAAAGAACAAATATCCTTTCCAAAGCATGTAAGGGAATGTGAAAAAACGATTGAATAAATTTGGGTTTATGCGTTTCATTTACTTGATGCTAATGATATATATTCAAGTTAATTATGAACATTCAGTCCAAACAGTCCCTCGAGGCATGAACACGCCATGAATCATTCTGACGAAAAATTCGGTCTCATTCTTGTGGATTTTGAAGCCATTGAAACTACCTGGTGGAGAATAAAACTAAGGGTAAGTTTAAATAAAATACAAATAAGTCAATGAATTGAGATTTTGTTGTCAAAAATAACTATTTACATCATCGTTAACTGAACTTTAGACTCGCTGCTTTCACTCATTTCATGTCTACCTCGAAGAAGCGTGGCTTTCCCTTTCTTCTGAATAAAACCTTCGCTTCTTGTGCAAAAATTGACCTTCTTGAGAACAACCATTAATTTAAAACTATCTTTTCCCAGTTTATTGTTCAGCTACAGCTTGAAATTGCAATGAATCAATCCTTATTTGTTTGCGTTTCTCAGGCTAACAAGGTGCGCGATTCACACGTGCGCACACCCGCGGCAAGGGAGCGAAGCCATTTGCTTCTGTCCTCGCACGTCCCGCATATAACTGTCTCGCGGCCTGTGTTCGCTGTTTTTAATGACTTGCTACAAACACGATAATTTATCGAGCGTCGAACAACATCTAAATATACCTTACAATTTCACCGAAAATTACTTTGAAAACCTGTAATAATCATTTAAATAAAAATTTGAAAATATAATCTGCGTTGGTCGGCATAGAAGCGATGAAGTGCTAAAATTTTACTCTGGCTTACCTCAACTAGAACAGCTTTCTATTATAAATGACATTAACAGGACATAATTTTAGGAAAACTATATAACTCCTGCTGATTCAGTTAGTATTGTATTTGTGGCATCAAAGGATATCAGTTTCATTTCAAACTGAGAAAAAAATCAACACGTGTAGTGATGTAACAACAGTATAATACTGCAACGAACTAGATGTAATATCAGGGTAATTTTACGTTATCAACTGAGTTGATAACGATAATATCACTTAATCAAAACCACGGGTCCTATTGATCTGAAGGGCTATATCGATGATCCACACCTTTTTTCAAGTGGAGGACACTCCCATTTCACTCCACATTTTCATAAACTTCTCCCTTCTCGTCCAAGCTTCCTTCCGAAACTCCCATATTGTAGTAATCTTGGGTCACTCGTCTGTCGTCCAGTGACTGGTACTCAGGTGGTTCACGTGACTGCCCGTCAGAAGGCCTGGGTTGCAGCTCCATATAAACACCAGGTTCTGACGCTTGATGAACACCAGATGGGACAGGGATACTACTATTTACTATGGTTGTTCTCTTGTTAGGCTCAGCTCGTCTTAACCGCCATATCTGGATACCATTCACAATAAGAGAGAAAAACACAATGACAGAAAGAGCGATGACAGCAGCGAAAGGTACTCGGCTTTCAGCTGAAAATCAAAATGGCACAATAATGAGCGCGTTTGCAAAACTCCATAATACTTACAGTTTTCTTCTTTAGTGTCCTAAGTTATACTTGCATGTTAAAAAGAAAGGAGAGTTTTGGAAAGTAGAGTTTTGTCTGTCACTACAAATTGCGCTCCTCTGCTCTTAATGTTTCCCAGCCTGTAAATACCTCTAGCCATATTCATAGCTCTATCATGCGGCCTATCTCGCATAACTACGCTTGGCTGTAAGTGTAATAAGTGTATTAGTATACAATTGTAGGGGTAGGGTTATGAATTGGTAAATAGGCTTCAGGGTTAGGGCTACAAGTTAGGTGATTAGGGCTGGTAGGGTTTCAGGGGAAGATTAGGATTAGGGGTAGGGGGCTAGGTGATATTTTTGCGTTTTTTTCGTCATATATACATATATTTAACTTGTACATATATTTATATACACATCTGTATTTTATCTGTCGAGCGTTTTCAACTTGAGCCATTAGGCTCGGGGGATTGGGTAACCACCCCTTACGTTACCGACGTAAAATAAACTGTATTGTATTGACAGAAAAAGCGTATGATTGAATTGTTGATGGGCATGAACCCAAACTCTAAGAGCACAAGTTATGTCCACGTGCCAAAGCTACGGCACTTGTTCATCATAAAGCTGAATTTCGTCGAATCACGTGTTTGCTCTTTATTAAATTAAAAGAGTTTTTGTCGCAGTGAAACGAAAAAATGACATATGATAATGACAAGGGTGTTACTGTATTAGTGTTGTATGATATGCAAGGTCAGCCGATGAATAAATGCAAATCAGGATTTTACTCGCACTGTTGTAATCGGTTAAGGCTCTTTGGTATACAATGTAGTTTTCTCCTCTTGTCAGTTCATTGTTAACAAAGGCTCCATACGATTTCCCATCACCAACAGTAAACTTCCAAGACTTCTCATGTACAGGGTTATTTTTCAACTCTGCAGCAACATAAAATGGATAAAAGTTCGTGTTGTTTGTATTCAAGTCTTGAACACAATCAGAGACTTTAAGAACAATTACCTGATAGGCACTGGAATAATGAGTAAGAGCGAAATTCTTATCAATGAAACTCTAACCATCGTTCCGTCGCTTTTTTAAAACTGATAGACGTTAAAGACATTAGATTTAGATCTAAGAATCATGTAGTAGACTCTGCCCACATACTCCGTTTAATTCCTTCACATCTTCATGAAAAAGAGTCGTAACGTTTACTCATTGATCTTTCATTTAAAAATATAATGAATAAATGAATAAATAAATAGGTTTCTGAGAGTCCTGAGATAAAAGGTGGAGTGAATAAAAATTAACGTACAGTAATGTATATTGTTTATTGACCTTTTAACTCTCAAGATCTGATCATTAATTCTCTCTTCTAGTTGCTACACATTTCCTTGTAAATTTGTAACGAGAATTTGGTGTTAGATCGAGAAAACAAGTTCTATCTGATAAGTTTGAGTATTCTCGTTAATTGTTTGCTGGATATTGTATAGATGTTAAGGGAGAAGTTACGTATTAATCATTTCTAGGAGAAAAAGGGTTAAATAGGCTGACGCTTTGTCTGTCTCATCTTTGGGATCACGACCAAAAACCAATAAGGACACCAACAGTAAATCAAAAATCCATCATTTTAGAATAAGTGGAATACTTATGCTAGTACTTCACCTGAAACTTGTTGGTAACAACATGATTTCGAGTGCAACTTGGTGTTAATAAGCACGAGAAAGTTTTTAAAAGACAAATGCCATTTTTAGTCTTTGAAAAATTTACAAGTGCTTATTTAAACCAAATAACACGATAATCGTGTTGTTACTTGTTAATTATTCACATGAAAAACGCATCGCGTGCTCGCTATTTGTAATTTGCACTTATGTTACATGAAAAATGGACTCGTTTTCCGTCAATCAGACGCGCGTAATTTTTCCATGTATATTATGGACTTAATAAATGAATACCGCACATTCTATTTTACAGTCACGCACCTTACTGGACCATTTCTTTGCTCTACAGGCCAGAGGTTAATTTCGACCGATAACTCCGAGATCTCCATATTAGTCCACTGAGGTACAAATGGGGCCATTGGAGCTACAGAGGAAAATTATGTACTAGGTGAGTAAAATTATCACAATTTTCTAGAAAGAGAAAATGCATCCATCCATAATGTAGCTTTAGAGTGGAAAATACCCAATGAAAGCACGTAACAATACTTGGAACAGTTCGGGGAGAATATCAATACAAGTCCTCGGTCTTTCTTTTATGTCTAGCCTATGGTTAATATTCGAAGAGTCGGCCTTTGCGCTTAGCTAAATGACATGTTCACTTTAATAGTTCTGAAATGTTTGCAATCCTTTTTCCCTTGCTCTCCTGTTTCTTCTCCTTTCTTGTCCAAAGATGAAAAGGAATCCTTATGTCTACGTTTAGAGTTTACAAATGGTCTGATTTTATCAAGATGCCATCGAAAAGGACTCTAAATGTTTGTAAACTAACAAGCGGCTTTAAGTTCAGATGCGCCAGCATGCCAAGCTAATATAAAGCAAGATACTGTACACTCAGACAGCGACTCCGATAGCATGATCCGGGTAAATTCTGACTCTGAAACGTCCTCTATAAATATGCAAGCCACTGAAAAGATGATCTTTGCATTGCATAGTAGTTACTTCTCATATATATCGTATGTTTTCATTTTTTACGGAACTCTAAAATACGTTATCACTTAAACAAGGTCCTGATAATCTATGGAACAAATGATACTAAAATTCTAACTGCATGGCTTTAGAACAGGAAAATAATCGTTTACATCAAGGTATACCTGTCATCTTTGTTTTGATCCTGTCAGGAAACCTTCTGGGTTCTCCGAATCCACATACAGAGCTCACGAAAACCTGAAACTCGTAGGTAGAGCCTGGAACTAAACCTTTCATGGTGTAAGAGGTGGAACTGCCAACGTCTTGTACACCTTCCTCTCTGAAGCTTTCATTGTAAAGCTTTGTTCCGAGATACTTTACCTTAAGAGACAAACAGTAATCGAATAAAACACTGCTTAACTACTGAGAAGAGTCTAACGATCAAAGGTAAATGATAACAGTTTACTTTTAATAACCCGTATCGATTAGCATCTAATTTCTCCTCACAACATCACCCCTGAATCAAACATTAAGGTCACGGGAATAAAAGAAATGATCACCAACGAAAGAAGCTATTGACTGTTTAGTTCCATAGTAAATGTATTGCGAACGGTATGGAGAAAATGCAAACTGATGTAAGGGTATAAAGAGTTGAGAGGAAATCTCTGCAAATACAAAGAAACCCTTCATCCGCACCGACAAAAAAACAAAAAAAGATATTTCACAATTTCAGAAACAATGACATTTCAAGTGAATAATATATAGATTTAGCCAAGCCTAAAAGCGGAGCTCGCATTTTCTTTTCCTGCACGTCTCAAGGGCACAACGCCTTGCCCCGGCCAGGACTAGAACCCGGGTCGTCCGACTCGGAGCCCAGTGTACTAACCACTGGACTACTGAACAAAGCCGTGGCGTTGGCGTGCCCGCGGTACAGTTGACC